GTTTCTCTTACTATCTCGAGACTATTTATTGAATTTTATCTTGTACAGAACTACAGACAGATATTTATAACAAATTCCAAATGAGGATGACCCTTTTTTACAGTTTTTTCTGCTCGTGATTTCGGATGTTTAATTTTTAAGCGATAAGGCTGTTTTACATAGAATAACTTGCTGGGTTGTATACTCACTTTAATGAAAATATGATTCCTTTTGATATTTTACAATAATGTTAGAGACCTAGTATCACATAAACAGGTTTACAAGTTAATGTTTACTGGTCATCAATCATTAACATTTTTTAATCGACATCAGTTAAATTTACAATGTCCAATAACATCATAAGCCTAACCAAAATAACCGCAATGTACTTAATTAAAATCGTTTTTTGTCCTGATATACACGATTAAAAAGAGTTTGAATGAAATTTACTCGTTTATTGTATAGAAATAACAGTTAACCTAGAATATCGATTTTTAGAAAAAACTATACCTGATAGTAAGAATGAGAATTTCACTTTGACTTAATCGTATGTATTTAAGGTCAGATTGTAAACTGTTTAACTTCTCCCCCACTCTTTTCCTGTTGGCAGAACAATGAATAAGTAAATAAAAGCTCATCTCATCAAAATATAATCTAGAGCAAATGTAAAAATATGTTATTGTTTTGTTTGCTGTCAGTCCTTTTTTGTTTGTTTTTCATTTGTTCGACGATTGATTAGAAATGTTAATTAAGTAGGTCGATATTTTTATTACAAGGTAATTCATAGAGATTGCTTAGAGCTGATACTATTATTATTATTATTTTTATTATTACTGTTGTTTCCTTACCTATACAAAAAGAAAAGATTTAAAATTTACCAATACTCTACCTAATTTATGATTCTAACCTATGAACAAATAAAGAGAGAATATTTTATTAAAAATTTTTATTGATCAAAAACAAGACAGTGAAACAAAGTCAGTATAATCCAATGTGAGGTAAACAAATTAGTAAACAACCAGTGATTACTAGTTTGTAATTTCACTGAGGTTTGTAGAGATCACTCAGTTTACCTCAATGACTGATTAAACATAATGAAATATGAAATATTAGAAAGTAGCAAACAGCTATTTATTCTAGGTATGACTATTCGACAGAGTACGTTATAACGTCAACAAGAATCAAACCTGTGATCTCAACATCATGAATGAGGGATGATACTCTTAAACCTTCGAGTTTTTAAATGATAATCTACATAACAATTACCTTACTAACTGATAGTTTCGGTAAATTTCCTTTCTCATTTTGAAAGAGCTTAAAGATGAATTCCTCAAGTTCCTGCAACGAAGTTAAAGCGTTTCAGGGGTAAACGATATTTGTATGTTTAGCAAACTTTGTTTTCAGTTGTTCATTTTACTGATTTGTATATTTTAATAAATTATTAGAGAAAATGAATAGATCAATACATTAAATCTCTATCTGCTTTTCACTGCCACCACGTGGATGTGAAATCATATAGACTGCGGTGTGATATCACGGTGAATCGACCGCGTTACATCGATGCCTCTCGTCTAACAGCATAGATAAATCAACTGCAAACAACACTACACCTTCAGTATGCCGTTACACTGAGCTTGAATAGTTCACATTATACCAATAAATTTTATTTTGCTTGTTTAATCTATTGAAGTAAAACAGTGTTGTTGATTTTAGATCGTTTGATTACCTGAAGGTTTTTTGGAGAAAAATTGATAATGGAATCCTACCTTAACATAACCGATAAGCAAATGGGTGAGGTCGCGCAAAATCCCTAGATCAATCAGAGTTAGACATTAACACCGTTGGGTGCCGGCCCAGTGGTCCGATGGTTAGGAGTTCGCGCACAATATTGACGGTCCCGGGTTCGAATCCTGCGAAGTGCAGGAGTCGTGGACGAAACGGCCGTCCAGTGCTTCCAGGTTTCTAATGGTGGTCTAACAATGATTGATTGATGATTTCAAGTGTGTAAAAACACAAATCTCTAAAACTCTAACTGAAAATAACCAATATAATTGGAAAAAAATGTCTGAATTAATCGACTGATTTTACTAATAAGAAATTTCGATCTTAAAAGATCGTGTTCAAGATAAAATGATTCAGTTTACGCGATAAATTACTCAGAAAATCCTTTAGTTCACGTATAGTGAATACATTAATAACTCTTAAACTGAGATACCGTCATTTTTGTAATTATGAGGTATGCTTACCAGAATCAATCAGCGACATTTTAACATCAAATGTTTTCTGACTGTCTAAACCTAGCTAGTTTTAGTAGTATATGATTCCCTTATGTGTTGATTAAAAAAATTGTATAACTAACAAACAGCTAATTTATACACTATTCTTTCTCTAATATACACATCTAATCAGATTGTGTTGTTGTTTATTCCTTGATAGAATAATTTCTTTGATATTGAATTCGTATGATTTATCTTTCTCTTTTTTTAAAAACAACTGTCTATACATCTTTTGAAATTTTCTAATGAATGATTCGGCTTTTTTTACAATGTGAAATGCACATCTAAAGATTTCAAATTGGTAAACAATATGTACGAATCATATTTATTATATAATTGATATTGATTAATTTATTTCGATTGTGTAAATAGCTAATGAGAAAACAGTTATACATGATAATTATTGAAACAGATTTTATTAAAAAGAAATTTTGAAAATATTTCACGAAATTAATTTTGGAAAAGAAAGGTTTTTACTGTTTTCGGAAAGAATTCGCATCAATAATAATGGTGTATTGATTAAAATGCTAATTAGGTGTATAAGTTAAATGTTGAAATTTATTAAGTATTTTAATATTCAATAAAATGGTACAATATTAAATGTTAATTGCTTTGCCAATATTTTGCATTTCGCTTAACCCAAACTGAACTGAACGTAACTTTGATTTCATTTTGAAGATTTTATTATTTAACAAGTAGCATATAATTCTTTATTATTGACTCATTCTACTGTTATAAGAGATTCGACTATTATACTACTATACTGTACTTGTACATTCAGTATTAAGCTGTACCGCCCTAACTTTAAATCTAATTATACAATCCGTCTATTTGAACAGAATTAGACGGTGATTGTAAACAGAATACTTTATTATTATATCTATCACTGTTAAAATTTCACTGTGTGAAATATTCTTTTTCTGGAAGGTTTGTTTAAATGAAATAGCAATAATTAAACATTAAATTGTAAAAAAACGTTTATTGATTAACTGTTCAGTCATAAACAAACAATTGATGCAGTTAAAGAAGCTTATACTTTTGAAAGTTTGAAACATTTACTTTTGTATGCAAAAACTATCTATCAAGGGGAATTTCAAATCATGTTATTTTTGAGATTGCCTTATTTTGAAGAGGGATATTTTCTAATGTACATTCACGAGGATGCATATTTTAATTAGAACTTAGACAATGTAGATAGAACAATTAGGAGAGATTGACTTGGAAATTAAAATACGTTTTTTAGTTTTGAAATTACTTACATATTAGGATTTTCAAGCTGGTATGAGGTAAATACCATAACCTTTCATGTTTACATCTGAATGATGACCGTCTAATTGTTTGATATTTGATTTTTAAATTATCTGAATTTTTCGAAATGTTAAGGTGGTAGATTTTATTACTTTCCCAATGACCGTAACTTTAAATACTTTTTAGCTGTCATAAACGGTTACTTAAGGGATTTTCATGAATGATTGGCAGGTGAATTGTGATTAAAATTTATCTCTTTGGATAATAGAGAAATTTATAACGTAATAATGATGACTGAATATGTTATCGTAGAAAAATATGATAATCGTAAAAGGGATTTATGAAAAAATAACGCCATTTGTTTAAGCTAACATAACTCTAACTTGAGTATTTTCCTATTAATGTTGTTGGTTGTTCTCTTAACAGCTTCAATAATTCCTAAAAATTACAATTTATTAAGGCTCTTCACTGATTCCTCTTTTTCGAAATTTCTCCATGTGTATATATCAACAAGTTGGATTGTGTTATCTATTCATAGATTGTTGATCAAAATACATAGACAGTAGTATTCGGTTTATATTCGTGAATATTTGGTGAATCCATGATACCTAAGTGAGCCAAAAACTATGATTTATGGTCTTAACCGAGTGCTTCCAGTTGAAATTTGTTGCATGCTTATAAATTATGAATAATATCAACACTCTTAGTGTGCCATTATATACAGGGATTGATATTGGATAGAATTGGGATTTGGGGCTCACGTTTCATTCTATTCAGGAATCATAGGCTGGATGTAACTGCATACTAGAGTTAATGTTGACTCTGAGACTCGAACCTAGTGCCGTTCGCTTCAAACGCCACCGCATTATCTATTTAGCTGCTAAGCCCCCAAAGCCAGTGGCTCCAGTAATGTGGTACAGTTTAATGTATTTGTATTGATAATTTGAATCTCCCCATAGATAGTTAGGACTGCGATTGTACTAACAACAAATATCGATTTCTGCTTATAATGCTTGTGACGTAATGGCCATATCGAGGTAATCTGAAGAGGAGATACATATGCCAAATTAGACTGATCAGTCTCAGTCCTAACTATCACTGGGAAGATTCATACTGCCTGTAGAAATACACTCACAATATGGTTTATATTAATGGTTTAAAAATAATCGGGAAACTCATAAGAAATTCGAATAATGAAACGAGTGCAAGAGTATCTGTAATCTTCAAGGGGTCGATCTTCTTTGGTAAGTTTGAATTCAGTTCATCCAGTTTTCCATTTTCAAAAGTTACCACAGAGCTATTTAAACTGCAATAGTAATGTTTCATCATCAGTCCCCTCAAGGATGCAAATACCTCTTGCGAATGAGTTCTAACCTGCATGGAAACTAGATACAAGGTACCCTATCAGCCAATGAACTTTCACAAAAAATCTTTTGTTTTATCTTGTCTTCAATTTTCCCAATTTTATGCACTTCATAATATTTTTTTATGTTGTAGAAGCAGACTATGAAGAACCAGAAAGTCACATTGTTCGACATAAACCTGTTGGTATTAAAACGTTGTTGAGAAAAACAAGATTCTCAAGAAAAGAATTACAAATTATGTATCAAGGATTTAAACAAGTAAAGTCTCTTTATATATATATATATATATATATATATATAACTGCATAAAAACCAACCATCAACATCTAAAAATTAATTTGCTGATTGACTGAATGAATAAAGCAGATAATTTACATTTTTATTCCAGTCTAATATTAACTAATATAGACTAGTACACTTAACGATAAATTAACTTCAACTTTTGTGAAAGTTAATAGAGTAAAGTATGACCACAAAATAAACTGACTCAGCCTACTTAATTGCTTTGCCGAAAAAATATAATTTTTGGAAATCAGATTCCTTACTTTACTTACGCCAAGTTTACTGGGTAATTGCGATAAGTAATAATTATCATTGTTAGAAATTCTGTTAAAAATGGCTAATACATAGAAAAATGTTCAAAAATGTCAACAGCATGTAATTGTCAATATACTTCAAGAATGATATTTTATGCATGCATTTTATGTATCTTCATGACAAATATATTTTTAGAAACTCTAGAACAATCAGTAATGATGTGTACAGAATTTTAAGGCTAGTTAAGAGCATATTTTAAAAGTTTTAATAATTTTTTAAGTTAGAATATACAGATAAATAGTGTAAAAAAATATCCATAGCTCGAATAATTTTGTTTATTTGTGTTTTGAGAAGTTTTTAGCTGCTTATTTCTTTACGTTTGACCTGGGATTTCTGCAAAAACTGACACTCAGTGCATACTACCCACTATAATAGCAAAACTTAAATTAATCCTAATTATTTAAAGAAGGTTTTCGGTACAGCGATCGATAAGTATTTCATCCAATATTTGACCATTAAAAGTATTCAGTACTCTTTTAGTTTAGGACATAATCATTACCGTTCAATTCAATAAAAAAAGCCTTCATAAAAAGAAGACATTATAAGTCGAGGTTCATATGATGACTTTGAATTCCAAAACATTTGATACGTACATAAGCTCACTACTCAAAAATCTCCTATCATGTCTGAACTTAAGTCCAGCTGTCATCGTAATTAATGACTTCAAGTTGTGTTGGTTAGGGTTGTTGTTTTTTCTTACATTTATCTGAATTTATCGGAGGCAAATATCCGGTCTTAATCTTCAGGCGTCGGTCTCCTACCAAGAGATTCGCTTATTGATTTAAAATATGAGATGGTATAGTTCTATTTGGTAAAGTCGCTAACAAAATGCAGTCTTCTGACCACCTTGTGCAACAATTTGATCATATTTGAGATGAATTTCTCTCCATCTTAATGCTTATTGTCACTCTAGGACTAGTCCAGATAATCGCCTAAACTGATGATAAGAGTGGACGTGTTCAGCGTGTCCAGGACTTCATTTATTTTGAAAGTCTCCTTAACTTATATAAGCTGCTGTCTGACGAAATCTCGAATAGGATTTAGAATGCTCGTTTAACTTTTGTCAACTTATGTCGCCTATGACATAGGCAAGTTATCCATCTGCTAAATTTCGGGCCATCGAGTCAGTAGTTCTGAAGCTAAAGGCAGACTTCGAGGTAAGTATGGCAAATAGATTGACAAGGTAGTGAATCAATTTTAACTGAGATGGTTAGGACAAATATTAAGTATTGCTATCCGCTGGCTGTCTCGACGAGAAAGCTAGTAGTGGCCAAATGAAGATATGACACCAGTCCATAAAGGCACTGGCTGGTGTAATGAATCATGCAGTCAGGCGGAAACTACAAGGTTGTGGTCCACGTGATTATCGTAACCAGCGGTTAGAGACATTGAATGATACAACTCAAAACAAGTCGCAATAGTGCATGCACGTTTATTGTTTGTCTCCCCTTAGATTCTAACTTTCTAAATTCAACACAAACTCTTATTTTATTCTCAGGTCGTATCTTCAATTTAAAATCTTTTCTACCATCACTAACTGACAATTTCATCTTTGTGATAATGAAGTGTGAAGACTTGAAATCGATCTACACATGTGACTGGCTGATTAGTAAAAAATTTGTTAGAATATTATCTACTTTAAAGTAATCATCATTAATATTGTTAACTATAAGAAGTGATGAAGCTTTTTATAATGTCAATCATATGCAAAATCACAAAAAACACAATATTGGGTGACTCCATTGAAATGATTTAACGAATCCCTTTGAGAATTTATAAAGAATAATGATAAAATTCCATTTATTGTATTCAATATTTCAAGCTACGTGAAAAAAGTTCAGTGATTTCCTTCCTTCGTTTTCACTTCTTTTTAGGAATGTCCAGCTGGTACACTCAATGAAGATTCATTCAAAGATATTTACTGTAAATTTTTCCCTCAAGGAGGTATGTCATAGTTACATATTTTATGTGTGACAGTGGTGTATAGTTTTAAAACAATTTTGAGATTTGTAAAAAATCCACCAAATGAAATCTAACCAACACATTTCAACAACAAGTTCAGCAGCAATAGGATGAAAGTATAGTCTTAAGCAATTTACTATTCTAATTGTAGCAATGAGAGAAACTGACTTGAACACATTTGTGTGCTTTTTTTCTAATGAAATAAATTAAATCTTAATAATTCAAATAATTTAATTTTCAATAAATTAACAGGAAATTATTAAAAAGTATGAATTATCTTAAGATAGAAATTATGCGTCGAATTTTTCATTTTGGTTGATGACTTGAACTCAATTGTTTTCAAAAAAGTAGATGTAGAATGTATCTAAAGAATAGCCAAATAAATTTTGACTTTATATGTTAAATATAGCGCGACCTATGAAAGTAGTACTCGTGTCTATAAAAACAATTTCTTATCTTGAACGAAAGATTATAAATTCGTTTTTTTCGGCATATTTAACAACTTTTCCAAGAACCTTTATTTGAATGCACGATATTTTCAAACATTATCAATCAATACTTACAACTCCGAAGTCAAAAATACTTAAATTATTGATTTTCAGCTGTTTGTCATGGTTGTTTGTGATTTCACTAAACGTCAGTTACATAATACAACTTCAGCTGGAGTCGTTCCAGGGTTACTGCCGTTCCCAAGACCGTGGATAAAGGAGGAGGGTTTGGCATGGCGTTAGCGACTCCATGCCGTAGAAATCCAAATTGCTAAAAAATTGCTAACCAGAAAAATAATCCGCTGGCCGGTGACCTATGCTCCATTAAGGCAACAGGCTTAAGTGTGTAAGTAAGATAACACACTTAAAAGCCATTGAAAACTATTAGGCTATGCTTTGTTGGATAAGGTCAGTTCACGGTGATAGTTGTATTGAGAATAATTTAGACTCAATTAACTAGCTAATTTATTCTTATTGATGAATTGTTCTACATGTTGACTAAAATCAAACAATGTCTCAATTAAGTTAATTTCAGGTATATGAACGAAGTATATCCTCTTTAGGTTATATAGTTACGAATCCAAATTATTAATCCAAAAGGTGGTCAGGTTTAAGGCAAAATACATCGTTCGAAACTATCGCTTGTAAATTCAGGATTGTTCGTAAAATAAATCGTTAATGTTTAGATGACTACAATGAAGTGCTCGCTTGAATAAGTTTATACATAAAACGGAATGGTCAGATTAATAAGCAGAATGAATATGGTCAACATGATGAGGGAAATAATAATCAAATTACAAATCAAGAATCATGTAATATGTCGAATAACATGAATGAGGTACGAATTAGTGAATAGAGGTGGATATTGAATCGATTTCTCAAAATTTGGCGAGCGTTATAATGATAACAGTATTAAGGATAATGATAGTTGTTTGTGAATAAGACAAGTTTAATCAACGGAAATACAGAGATGGGGATTGTATGAACACTAATAATTTATCAACATAATGATTGTTACGTAATTAGGTCAGAAGTTGGCCAAGGTAAAAGGAATGGTTGAATATATATTTCTTATGGATGCAGTTTGAAGGTTTCTTAGTTCGACGGATTAAGGCAGAATGATTTTAACACGATAAAGTATTGAATTGATTGCTCGATGTTGGCTGTTTTACGATAGATGAACTAGAATCGAACTGTTAACAGATTTAACTATACCTTTGCTTAACCACACTAGGACGTGCTAGAGAGTAGGGAAATACGAATTCGTAGAACATCTGACGATGTAACGTGCTCCAATGGAGCAGTTCAAATGATAAATACAGAAATAAGTGGCTAGTCTAGGTAATTATCTCTAAATTTCTGAGTAATTGTTTGACGTGTAGAAATGAATGATTGTCGTTTCGTTGCACCAAAAGTTTTTTGGATTGCTCTCTCACTAATTCTAACAGCTCTAAATAGTAGGCACATATAAAGAGACTTCTTGGTCGCCGTTAGGTCTTCCTTATGATCACTTTTCATGCCTAAATGCTTAGTTACGGTAATCAAGAGATATCTGAGTTATGGTGTTCACATAAATAACTTACAGTCATCTGTTACTGTGATTATGTCCTGAATTTAAGTCTTATTTAGGTAAATAGATAGATGAATCTGCATTTTCGCATTAAAATGTATGAATTATGAAAATAGTCTAAAGAGAATTTTTTATTCTTTTGCGTTAATAATAATTTATGGCATATTTGTTTAAAAAGTTAGTGTCAGTTAATTCATATTTTTATTTCGAAAAACTATCTCATTTTGATGAATATCTATTCATTATTCATTCATCATTTGAATAGACACAGACGCACTCACAAGTGTGTATGCGAATGTATTGCCGACAAGTATTTTTCCATGTTTTTCGAAACCATTGAACATTTGATTTTTTTTGTTATAAATACTTGGTCAAGAAAAACAATAACTGAAGGAATTCATACTTTGTGATAATTTAATGTTTTCAATACAAAACCCTACACCCAATCTCCTGAAAATATCTGTTTCATTCAACTCTACATTTTACAAACATAATTCATTTAAAAAAAAAAAATTTTGAGAAAAGTATCCTATAGACGAATCGATCTTCCTTTGTAGAGAGAAATAAAATTTAAGGAAGCAAACAAAAATAACTCTAGTGCATCTGTAGTTGTCTTGTGAATAGATGTCTGTGTGTATTTTACAACAGATACATTGAAACTTGATTAAAATGCAGACAAATTCGGTTTATGCTTAGGTTTAGAGGATATATTGATTAATTCGATACAGAAAAAGACTTTAGAAGACAATTTGAAAATTTCTCGAATATAATTCGCTGCGACTGATTATGCGAATAGTATGTAATCAACTTGTTATCAGAGTTTGTAAGAACAGAATATTCTTTGATTTTACATTGCCACTTAAAACATAGTTTAATTCACTTTTCGGGTGAACCTTTTCATATATTGAGGATTAAGGTGGTCGCATAAAAGTCACTGATTATGTAAATGCACAGTAAAACTCAAACTGGTCAATATCAGTAGTAGTTGTTAATATCTTTTACATGATAAGAATATGAGCATTCTAACCCTACTCTTGCAAAACCTAGTTACCACAGATGGGAACTGTGCCATAAAATTCCTCACTCCTGATAATAACACAGTGTAAGCGTAGTTGAGTCTTGTTTGCCAATGTTCATTGCTTATGGGCACATATGATTAGATGATTGTGAATCCAGTAACATATGATGTGTTTGTAAATTTAACCCTAAGTTCTGCCTCTAAATTGTACTACTGAAATAATATAACAGTTTTAATCCGTATACCCAGCTACTGTGAAATAATTATTGATGATGAAGACGAAGAAAAAAGACCAAACAAATAATTCAGTACTTTTGAGCAAAGTTCGACTGTAGCTTAAAGTGGAATCCTGGATGTACATGTTCCAAATAATGACAGATCACTTTAGGTCTTTACCATCAAAGGAAAGATTCAGGCCAGATCATTCAACGGAATATATGTACATATAGAACCAAGCGATAGTATCAAAATATCATATAAATTGCATTGTCGTGTATGTAATTCAACGAATTTTAATGTTCTGTTTTTATTGCTTATATACAGCTCAGTTTTTTACTTGTGTATACAACCAAAATACATATCTGATGATTTAGGCTCATGCCTGCAAAGTTAAATAAGTTGAGTAAATCAAGCAATATATTGCTTGGATCGTTGCAGTTTGATAAAATGCTGAGACCAGAGACTGCTTTACTCTTAAAATATTTTTTAAAAATTTAATGTGATTTTAGAGTTTGTTACGCTTTATTGTATCAGATAATGAATGCAGATTTCATTGACATAACTGAGAAGAATTTTGAACTATTACGATATTGGATAGTTTACTTCATAAATGTCTCAGAGAAACTTACAAATAGAGTACGGTGATAAATTTAAAAGCTTCGTACTTTACCGTAGTAAAACAATTTATGATTGTTCTTTGTTCTTCTAGAGATAAAGATCTCAAAAAACTAGATGAAATATAAAGATAGGGACCAACGAAATGCAGTGAACATGTAGATTAGTATTTACTCAACGCCTAGAAAATAGCATCCATTCAAATAAACCATATTTAAATAAAGAAAAGATTTTCAATAAAACCACCTAAAGATATCAGTAAATGTTTCCCATATAATTCAGAATTTTCAGTTTTTATCTCAGTTAACTTAAATTTTCAATCTTGTCTTCATTTTGGAACAGTTAACTATTAATCCGTTTGTGTAGATGTAATCTATTGTACTAATTCAAACTGTTTCATTTGGTAGAATGATTCTGACATGCAAATTACTGCTTAGCTAATAGTTATACTCATAGAATTAAGAATTAATCCTACAAAAACTGACTTAGTGTTGTCAAGCGAACAGACAAAGTAAAGTTGAAATCAATTTGTCTAGGATGAAGATTTGAGACAAGAAGTCCCTTAATCTAGTTTTAGATTTGTTTTGAACCACTATATCATTATTCCTATACTTCATAAAACAATAGGCTGAATAACAACTCTGATTACATTTTCTAAGTCGGGCGAAAAATCAGTGCTTGGTCTCACATCCATTCGGCTATACATATTCATCGATACAGTCATAAGAACGTATATCAAATAAACGGGCAAATTATTGTGTACTAAACGAATACAGTCTATCTTTCGAATAGGTTCAGTCAAAAGTCTAACCAATTCCAACATATACATACCAACATGTCGGCAATAGAACAACTTTACCATTTTAGTCGAGATTGCCATTATCGTTATCAACATATTCACAATTATACCATCCACTAATTGATATATTCAATTTATAGATAATTAATTAAACTATATCGATCAATACCTTCACATAATCTAGCCTTTGATAAAATTAGTAACAGCTTAACCATTCTAGCTGTGATTTATCTATACACAATACCGAAAATGGTCTTAATCATGAAATAAGAATTAATTTATATTATTTTGTTTAAATGATGATTATCAACATAAGAGAACTACCGGTTAAATATCTCCTGCTGATTACTCCCTACTGATAAACACATGATGTAAACAATCCGAGTAGTCATAAAATCTGATCATTGATTTATAGTATATTCTTTGTACTTGTTTTTTAACTGAAGAAGTAGTCAAAAAAGCTCCATTCACAAGTACAAAGAAAAACTGCGTTATGAAGTGGGTTTTTATGATTTTATAAAACGCATTTGATTGTTAGTGTCATGAAAGTACACTGTTCATAGATATTTAAGATATTATAAGTGTCTGAGTAGAAGCCGGTTGAAAGATCGTGTTTTTGATTTGAAGTCAAAGTCAAGGCCACCAACCGGAGGAGTAGTTTTCTTATCTGGTGAAATAGCTTGTTCGTATACAAAATATGAACACAAAAATATGCATCTTATCTTATCATATTGATTGCAGGAAGTCAACCACCCGTTATTCAGTTAAGACTTGATTGTTAGAAATAATTTTTGGGTATTGTATCGAATCATCTTTATGGTTGGATCAGATAAACGTTAGATAAGTAATTTCCATGATGTTTTAATTGAAGTTGAAACTGATAGCACTGAGGAAAATACGTAATCCATTAGACCATTACTTATTTGTCGACATATTACACTTATCCGCTTACTCACTTTGAATAATTGAATTTCTTTTTATAAATGATACTTAGATATTCAAGCCAACTATTCGTACAATCTATGGAACATAGTGATCCTATTCTCAATTAAATAGAATAGATTTAAAACAATCTGAAAGATAACAGTCACAGATATACTTTGAATAAATTTAAGCATAACTATTTGTTAAGAAGTTGTAATTTCAACCATATGTTCTAATAAATGTTTCTGGACACGTCTTCTTCTGAATAAGTAATGATTTTTTTTTGATATTTTAGATGCAACTGTATATGCTCAATTAGTATTCAGGTCATTTGATCAAGAGCATAATGGAACTTTAACATTTGAAGTAAGTTAAATTCAGTGAAACACTTTATCATGCAATTTATGAAATGATTTTTATGCAAAATATTATTTACAATTCGTTAATGTTAAAATCAATTCACTGTTTTATTCCTAGATCATTATTTATCAGTATTGCTAGTAAGATTTTGCAATATGGCATTGTTGAAATTTAAGATTTGAATTTCTCACTCATTGATATCACTTATGGATTCGGAACAGTGGTAAAAAGTAAAATTCTTTTTAAATATAAGATTTATTTACTGCTCAATATTATTCATATGAATTAAATTTTTTTTCAATACAAACTTGTTTGTTTTAGCAATATATTCAATGCTTGTCATGTTTGATGCATGGTACACAAAATGACAAATTACGTTGGGCATTTCGATTGTATGATATTAATGGTGATGGTTTTGTAACTAAAAATGAAATGCTTAAAGTTGTCAATGCAATTTATGATTTGTTGGGAAGAAATACAGAACCACCAATCAATGAATCAACTACAATAAATCATGTTGAAAGAGTATTTCAAGTGAGTGATAGTTTGTATTTTAATGAATAGATTGTTTTATAATCTTGGAAATGAATTATTTGATGTGTGTACCAAAACAGTTGAAAGAAAGTTAAGGTAGGCTGTGTTTGTTTGCTTTCTCTGATTTTTATATAACCAGATAAATATTGAGGGCTAGCTTATGGACCCTTCAGCTGGATAAAGTTAATATTATTTGACAAACTGGTGACGATCAAAATTACTTCTTAGCTAAGTAGTATTACTGGTCAAATGAATGCTATACATTATTTTAAAACAATAGTCAGATAAAAATAAGTGCCTAATTTTTAAATTTTATTTGTTAAATATCTAGCGGAATTGTATAACTTTTGAATTTGAAAATGATTTAGGATACTAACTTGTATGATTGATAGGCATTCAACCAACTGTTGAAATAAAAATGATCACATGTTGATATTATAAACCTTTTAATACAAAAATAGACGAAAACTAACTTGCAAAAAAAACTCAGTAAATTCATCTAGAATCATCAACGTTTAAACTTTACAGTTAACCTGGTTCAATAAATCTTGCAGAGATTATGGTTACATTTTTCCAACCATACAGAAAAATCTTGAATGAATAAGATGTACGATTATAAAAATATACGAAAACAGAATGCAGATCAACAAATAAGTTTCACTGATCTTATGTAACTGAGGGATGAATGTTAGTAAGACTAAAGTATTGACTCACGCGGAGGAATGATTTGAGATCAAGACAAGACCACGATCGAGGATAAATAGTTTTCCATGCTATAAAATGACCTCCATATAATACAAAATATTAACATAGAGAATAATTAAAAACCCAGGAAAGTTGGAGAAAATTATCACGTAAGTCCCTCACTCTCAAACGAGGTTTGCCGTGTTACTTCACTATCTATCATTCATACCACACATCCAAAGAATGTTAACGAACAGATAAGAAATGAAGTTCGCATTGGTGGAAAGACTAAGTAAAGATAAAAAGTAAACAAATGTTTACCTGTTCAGCCAATAATATCAAAAACTTAAATAATATGCTTAATATTTGTATTCATTTTTTAAAATTTTGTGACAAGTTCCTGTTTTGAATCCCCAAATCAATATAAACTACGTGAGCAACTGAAATATCATCGTGGTTTTCACTTAAAAATTACTCAACATAAATATGAAGATTTTACTTCTAAAAAAGACTAAATGAGAATCTCATGTCTATCTTAGATGTTTAAAACTCTTAGTTTTCTTTTAGCGATTAACCAACAGTGAACTAAATTATAAACCGGACGCCTTTTTATGTCAGTAATCAATAACATGCATATACACTGTTCAAGTGAAATATTCACTTTATTTAAACAAAATTATCAAGTTTACTTTTTGTAGCTGACACAGATTACGGATATTCCGATCTTAAAAATGACTATTAGTCAGAGGAAACCTTCACTTTTTCCGAAAACGTTCATTGTTCAAAGGATGTTTTTTATCGAAATGAAAAGTAGACAAGTACAGTAAAAAGATTTAGTCAAGAGTGTTGATATGTGGACGTTATGTGGACAAATGACTACATTAATTCAATAATTTCTTTTAATTATGTTAACTTGTTCAAAGTTAAAATATTTTCTCATGGAGAGGCAAGACGCAAATTAGAAAACGTTTGTACGTATCTCGCATTACTTTTAGTTACTGTGAAATAGTAGGCAAACTTAGATTAAAATGAAACACATTGTAAATACATTCAACATAATAAAGTGATAATGGATAATTATTCCTTAAACATTTCGGTTAATACTATATACGACAGCATGTTTAATGACCCAATTACACGACGAAAGCCAACTTTATCATGTTACCACTAATTGTATCTATAAATTAACATATACCTGCCAAAGCAGCTACATTGACCAAACAGTAAGGAGAGCAAACCTCAGATATTTCCACTTTTTTTCTAAAAACCTTGAAACAAAAGATAGGTCCACCTTAAACAATGCAATCACCAAACATCTCTTGGATACATGACATTGAATTGATACCTTGAAATCTTTCAAGGTGATGAATAAACAGCCGAGCTACAGTCTTCAGAAGTTGGCTGAAGCTGTTTACTATTAGGTCTCTGAATCCTGACTTATGTGTTCAAAACGAAATGATTGTTCATTCATCTTTACTTTGTTGAGAAATATTCCTTCACAGCATCAACAAATTTTGTTGAACTCTTTCTCTAATCAATCACATCAATACCTTTTATTTCGACTGTCTTCTAGGTTAGAAATCTTATTTTAACTAACTGAACGGTGCCCAGAGTTCATTCAATACGTAACCATTTGATTCTAGACCTTTAGATTTCGTTATTATTAACGTTATAGAATGCTATACCGACTCACGATTTTAGCAACTTTGAACTAAATTCTTTTATGTAAGTAATTTAAATCCTATTAGTATTTATAATTTTAAATATTAGACGTTGTAAGCAGCTGACAAAATCTAAACAAAATATAGACAATTCATTTTATTCGGTTCAAATCATTGTTCTTGCTTTCTTCAAGATGAAAATTAGAACTATGTGTATGAAGCTTCCATATTTTATCTGAGTTCAGAATTAAATTCTTACTATTCAACTGGCAAATCTTTCTATTGTTAGAAACTACAATGTTCAGGAAGTATACTATTTCAAAAACCAGCAAATTACGCTAAACAACTGATTATATTAAATGAACCTTAAGGTGAAGAAACTTACTGTGTGAACGTGATATATTTGATATGCTTCATTACTATAAACCAAATATCATGAGTATAATACATTGCATTGTAGAGTGAGAAAATATCATCAAAATGAAATTTATATGTTTTCTAAAATCTAAAGGCGTTTATACCATAGTCATTTGTTCATAAATGTAATCAGCAAAAGAAAGTGCTAATTCAAATTCATTTTCAAATGTGTTTCTATGGTTTATTGAACGATTTGACGTGAAAACACTTCATATACCACTGAATTACACATTACACTTCACTTCGATCATAAATGATGCGATTCTGCTTTAGACGGCTTGCTTGATTGTTTAACTTGGCAGAATAGTCATGGTTCAACTTGTTTTGCACACGTATTAGAAACAACTGGTTATAGATCTTTAATTTAAATTATTTTCTGCAAAAGAGAACTTTTCTCCTTCTAAATTGATTATTACTTCCTTCCTAAGAGAAGTGTAGTTTTCGAAGTTGTGTCAAACGTTTCACACCCTGATTTCATTCTCTCATTATTAAAACCGAATTCTCTATAGTTAGTTTTAAGTACCTCTGAGATTATCATTTTGTCTATTTTACCATACAATTTTTAAATTTTTTTTCACTGTGTCAACAGAGTGTATCATTTTAAGTTAGCTCATACTTTTGTCTGCGACTAAATTATTTTTAACCCACTGTTTTTAATTATTGTTCGCGAATAATTCGATTATATAACGTATGTGAAAAGATCGTCTACAACTGTAAAAATATATGAAATGAAAATTATTTTCTTTCATTTTTTATAGAGATTGGATTTGAATCAGGACGGTGTAATTAGTTATGAAGAGTTCCTACAGGCTTGTACTTACGTAAGTTTGTTTTAACTTTCAATTAACTTTGTATCACTTTCTTTCGACGATTATTCACTTGAATAAAATCTAGAAGGAGATGTAATAATCGTAAATGGAAATAATGAACTTATTTAATCGTTGGTGTGAGGAGTTTCTGAATTTTAGCGGGTGAATTAAGAACAAATGATTATGAAATGAATATTTATATTAATAATTAGTTGTATTCTGTTAAAAAGTTTGCAGTAATACTAATTTTTGCCCAGATTTTACAATGAAGTGGAAAGTCTTAGACGAAATACAACATTATAGTTTTAATAGCTAATATGAATTCAACCATATTTATAGAATAATTATTTATTATCGCAAGTCATTATCAAGTATTGCTAACTGATAATGTAGATTTAAGAACTCAAATGATTCTCTCTACTTTGCCTACCATTTAGCTAAAATAGTCATTTCATATTGAATGAAATATTCATATTTAATTTCAGTGCTAGACACTACCTAACTTAAATGAAAAGACTTGTTAGTAAATGGTAATATTTGCTCAGGATTCTCATATGCCAGTGGTAACCTGTCATTTGAAGTCCATATCATCAACAACAAGAAATTTTAAACCGTAACAAAAATTACCAATTTTTGTTTTGATAACATTGCAGTGTCAGGAATAAAACTAAAACTACCACAGGTAGTAAAGATCTATCAAGATGGGTTTACTTCAACGAATTTAACTGTGTTGAACTCAGTAATTTCATTTATGTAGGTTGACAAGCTTTATAGGCGTCTACATTTTTAACCTACACATAAAGACAGTGAAAAACACTTGATGTTCAGTGAATACAGTAAACGAGGGTAATAAATGATGAATGATGAATAATATTTCCTGTGATTTGTAAATATGAATGATTTTATGTATAGTCCTTTGTATGGCTAGACTAGAAAAATTTGATAAACGACATCATTTAAACATGATATTCTACGTACTTATCATTGCTTATCGACTATGTCACAAATAATTCAATTCCTTACTTACCTAAAGAACTAATAAGAACGGAAGGGCAAATATACATAGTGATGAAACTTTTATTTGTTTATTTTATAACCCAATAAAAGATTTTTGATTTATGAGTTAATTGTCTTCAGAAAAAATTATTCTGTTCGTCTTTTCACAACGATTTTCATCGATATCTTCACCATTTATAAGAGCATGTTATATATTTTTCGTAACTAAATTTGTAATGAGGAAAATACCCTAATGTTCCTTATTGTCTTTTTTATTTCAGGATCCGACTGTTTGTGATGCTCTTGATAAACTTACGACTATTTTATAACTCTCTTGCATTTTCAAATACCTTTAAACCTTTCATATATATAATGACCATTCGATTTATTTGCCTGTTTATAACTGTTAATCGTCATTTTGATCGAAAGCTATCTACTAATTGTATTTTCCACCATCAATTCATAATGATTAGCTTTGTTCATTGACGAAAAAATGAACTCACAGGATCAATAAATTTTCATAGAATTTTTTCCTGTATACTTTGTTGTGGATGATGAAAGGCATGTTATATGACTAATGTCAGTTTATCATGATGGTGAATAATTTGTAAATGACTTTTAGTGAGGATCGAGTCGAGAGTGACTATGATCACCACTAAATACTGATTACTAATTCGTCACGGAGAAGATAAATAAGTGGATGGTAAAGAATATATTTACTGGAGATTTCGTTGTATAAAAAGAATTCTGAAATCGAGCCAGGAAAGTGAGGCGAATTTTCAGAGCTGGTAGAGCAAAAAATGGCAGCGACACAAACCGAAACTTTGCGCTTGAAAAAAGTGTTATGAACAAAAAATACAGTTAGAGAGTCAATAATGAATGTTTATATTAAACAAATCTCGTTCTCTTCATAAAAGTGAATTCACTACAGCGGACCTCCGCTAGAAAGGGTTTACACTTTCCATACTTAGCGGTTTCGTTCCGGGGACTGATCGGCAAAATGTGCGATTAAAGGACAGAAGTGTTGATGAACGGGGAGCGATCCATGATGCTCGAGTTGTCACCGAAAGTCTTTCACGGAGAACAGTACCAGCAGTACCGTGCCATGTTTGTCTCTCGAGTTAGCGTACCACACCAGCGTGGCTCGTATCCAGAATCTGTAGATACGATACAACAGAAACTTCGGCACCTGTGGCCTCTAGGTACCTACTGTTAGTGCGTAAACCGTGCACGTAAAATAAACGAGCAACCTGGAGTGACGGAGAGGAAACAAGTGAAAATGCAATTACTTGCACCTCGGAGTCTAATATATTGTAGTTGTCCACTACTTATAAACTGTTTTGCAAGTGTAAGGACAATAATAAAGGAATAGCAACATCATCATAATGATGATAGTTGAACAATACACTCACCGTAATTGACTACTTTGTATCAAACATCAGCTCACCAATTTTAATTGTGATCGAGCCGAGACTGACTACGATCACCAATGAATACTGATGACTGAATTCAGTATTAACTAAAGCAGTTAAGTATAAGTAAAATAATAATGCAAGGATGTTACAAAGCAGGCGATACTTTGTGATGAGTGCGTTAGATTCAACGGTGGGCTCACCAGATTTATGGCGGCCGATTTCGATGTGTTCTTAATCTTCGTGATTAGCTCGTCTAGACAATCGTTATTAACTAGCGTCTGACGGTTTATAAATTTAAGGTGAACTCGTAGTGATGAATACGTTTATTTGGGACACACCACAAAGCAAAGCGGAGAAGCAGCGAATACAACGAATAAAGCGACGTGAATTGGAGAAGGCTGTTGAGCCAAATCCCAGGATTACAATACGAACGGATGGGCGAAGGAAGCGAATGAATAGGCGAAAAGCGTTAGGGAAGGCTAATGAGCCAACTCCTAGAGATAGAGCATGACTAAGAATATATAGCCAGACAAAAAATAAGACAGACATGTGACAAGAGAAATAGGCATGCACACACATGAATAAAAGCGACGAATTGTTGACAAGGTCAAATGACAGGTGGGACACGTCATGTGAGCTCATACAAACCAGACAATAATAAGAACGAATGGTACATATAAATTGTTGCAGTACAAGTGGCTTGGTTAAATAAATTAATCGAAAGGGCTTAACCAAATTAAATGTAAGTGAACTCGAATATTTGTGGAGGCATTACAACTTAATTCGAGTGAAAACATACGTGAACGGATTAATAGTCATTTTTATAACAATTAAATTCCCCGAAATATTGCTGATCGATTACGAATTTTATATTTTTTTGAAATATCGTACAGTTTACCTTTGAATTCGCGTTATTCAAAAGATACACTGACATTTATTAGTGGCTGCAGTAATTTGAATAGTTTGCATATTTTCTTTGTATCGAATTAGATCAAGTCATATTTTAATATCTTTAAAATTCGTTTAGTGAACATATAAACTTGAAGTGATCAGAGAGAGACAGGTAAAACACAGAACTTCGTACGTATGTACAGCATTTCAAGTTACCATGCCACAATAGCACAGAGATATAATTTTCAATTCAAAACCCATAGTAGTAGAGGTAGTAAAAGTGTTAGAAGTAATCGGACAGATCAGGGTTCGAAGATTTTATTCAAGAAGTATAATTCAGTGAGGTAAATTTAGGAAGAGAAAGATAGAGGCGATGAGTAGTTCAGAAGGGTGGAACTTCATAGAACACAAAGAATGGATGCATCCGCGCCATTGCAAACGGTTTTGAGCCATGTCACTCAGGGTCTCTAACCATCGATTATTATCATCTCACTGACCCCAAATAGGGAATAGACACCTACCAACGTGACTCAGTCCACTTGTCACCGACTTCATGGATTTGTGCCATGTTTTGGTTTGGCCGCTCCAACTTTTTTCCAACCTATTCTTATGTCGAAAAACATAGCTCCCTATCACTGGTTCAGGTACCAATGAAAGACTGAATTTTGTCAGCGACTTCACCAAGTAGGACTATGTCATCAGCATATTCTAAGTCAGCGAGCGTGGCTCCTCGTAGAAGGTCCACTTCTGAAGAGTCAGACGAAGATAATGTTATATCTAGCAGCATGTTTATGACAAAAATTGAACAAGAATGGGGAAAGTGGACAGCCCTGATGTACACTACTTGAAGTAGAGAATTCCGATGACAGTTTGCCTAAGCTCTCACCCTACAGGTGATGTTCGAGTAGAGAGCTTGTATAAGGTTAATGTACTTCTTTGGTACACTTCTTAATGACAGACACTGCCAGAGAACCTCACGGTCAACAAAGTCGAATGCCGCCTTAAGGTCGAGAAACACTACTTTTGTGGGGCGTCTGAACATGTGTCTTTGTTGTAGGACCTGACATAGTGTGAATAAGTGGTCTTTACATCCATGTCAAAAACCTAGACGTGGATGTATAGTGTTCAACAATAATAATGAACGGCTTGGAAAAAACTTGGTTATGGTAGTTATAAATAATAATTTATTCGCTTTACGATATTATGATCTTAATGTTTCTGAAAACATTAAATGTTACTCAAACAGAAGCTAGTTATCTCATAATATCATTAGTCATTGTTGATTTAAACACAAGTCTTCACTCTTAATTAATTCAGCGACATGAATCCTCTTGTTTTCACCTATTTCCTCGAATGTCTCCAATGAATGGTACGAACAAGGCATGATGCGCAACAATGGAGTCTTCTATCATATGCAATAATCCTTCATAGAACTGCAGCAAACAGTATTTCCCTATTGCCTTGTCTGTTGCATGTCACGTATATTAAGCGAAGCCATATTTAATAAACGAGATACTTAGGGGGTCCCCCTATAGGGGACCATCTTAAATCCATTCGTATTTCTGATATTTATCAATCAACTGTTAAATAAAATTAGCATGGCGTCACTAATCTACAAGAACGATACAAAGATCTAGAGATCAATTAGGAGTGGAGAGGATTCACATGAGTGTCCGGAGGACTTTATATTTCAATTGAGGAACGTGAAGTGAAAAACGGGTTAAGTTCAAGCAGTCGAAATGCTACGTCTACAAAATTCTGCCCGCTTGACACAAAGGCCCGACATCCTCAATGAAATTTCGCTCCCGAATGTCATATCGGAGTGTGATCTCGGTCCAACAACTTCTGAAGGGCTCGACACCAGTTCAAATTATATAGGGGACACAGCCACGTTTAACGCAACTCTCCAGTTTACGCGAATAGAACCTGGTGCAATTTCCTCAGAATTATTCTTAACACTGCCTAAAACATACGCACGCACACACCATGAATTTTACACCGTCGTCATACCTCCTCTTCTTAAAAGCGACATATATATCCTGGGTTGAATACAGAGACGAGCAAATAAATAGGTGATAGTGATGAAGAATAAACCTTACGAAGATAGACTTGGGATTATTATCTCCGTGTTATAGGAAAGCCGTAAGTGATTTGATAATGGAGTACAGCATATAAGGCACACCATCCAAAATTAAGCATCTTGCCGAACCATCACCACCACAACACTCGAAGTAACTGTCGAAAAATTGAGCATCAAAGAGTGAATACTCAGGTTCATGCATACGTTTTCCATTAAGAGTTGTGGTCTCTTTATGGATAGCCTCAAGAAGAGAAGTGATAAAGACGTACTCATTTATGGAAATATCATCTGCCTCTAGGACCAGCAGTGCCTGATGAATGTCTTGAGACTCCCTGGTTGCTATTACTGCCACTTCCTTAGATCACCAACTTAATCTGGCTTATCATTGCTGTTTCCTCTTCCTTGATTATACTTTGATCCTCTCACACCATTTAATTACTAAGTCCTAAATTCTTCCCATTAGCATTAGCATTTTCCCATCATTATCAAATAAACACTGCAGCTTACTTACCTCTAGCCTGGCAGCGTGCTAGCTGTTGGTATCCAGAAACCCTACTGCCCTGAAACAAACGTACTCATTCAAATCACGGGGCATACACATTCATAAATATCTGTCACCTGACTTGAATTAGTGCATTCGAGTTGTTAGACATTACAAAATATCTGGAACTGTGCCGAAAGAACAAGATTCTAGTAAAAAGAAATCAATTGATTTTTGCTAGCACTTTCAGAAGATAATGAGATTGGATATTGGATAGTGTGTACTGGGTTATTCAAGACGGGCGTCACTTATAAGTAAGGTCCAGCTTTCTAGCTTGTTAAGTACTCGATGTCATCTGATTTTAGTCTTTACTAACACGGTATCTTAATGCGAGGGTTTTTTATTTTTCATTTTATTCCGTTGTGTTCATTATTATATATATACACATTGTAGTGCCAGCACACAAATTTCCTCTTTTGTCACCACTTCCAGCTCTCCTCATTCACTCTAGTCTGCATGGTTCTGTTGTACACATAGCATCCTTGAGCTAGAGGCAAACTTGTTTCCTCTAAGTAATATGTGCTTGTCAGAAGGTTTTAGGCCAAAGTGAACTATACAGTTAAACAAGAATGGGGAAATTGAGGTGAAGTTTAGGAATATCGGTCGAGACGCTGACAAAATCCAGTCTTATCACCACCTTTAGCAACACTACAAGCGATTCTGGCCTCCTAATGCAATATATTGCTTCAAGATTGGCTTGTATCGGCACCTGAACTAGTGATATGGAGTGGAGCAGTTTAGCGTGTCGACCGATTCACTATCTTGGGAGTCTCATCATTGCTGATAGCCTGGCGACTGACGAAATCTCAGCACGGATACAGAAGGCTCGACTGGCTTTTGTCAACCTACGTCACCTATGGTGCAGGCGAGATATCCGTCAACTAACCAAAGGACAAGTGTTCTACGCAGCAGTTCACTCCATCCCACTGGGGGTGAAACATGGCCAGTAATCGTAGAGGATATTCGTAGGTTAGTAGTGTTCGATCATAGGTGTATCCGTAGCATTGCTCGTGTATCCTGGGACCACCGAGTAAGCAATGCTATAGTTAGGAAACCGGCACTAAGTAAAGATATCAGATTAATAGACAAAGTAATGAATCTTCATCAGTTAAGGTAGCTGGGACATGTGTCGCGTATCCCTAATCACCGACTGCCTTGTCGAGCTATGTTTTGTGATGTAAGGATAGGTACCAAGGGCTGCTAAACCAAAACGGCACAAATCCATGAAGTCACTGAAAGTGGACTGAGCCATGTTGGTGGGTGAAGACGACCTAGCTTGGGTCCGCTAGGCGATAATAACCGATGATTAAAGATTGTGACAGACTTGGCTCAAGATTGTTTGCAAAGGCGCAGGTGAATTCACTCTGTGTTTTCGCAAACCCAGACTTCTGAATTCTTCATCACCTTAATCCTCCTTTTTTTCAAAGCTATTTAGCTGGATTATACTCCTTGAATAATATCTTCCAACGCTAATCTCTCTGTTTACTGTTAATACTTCTACTACCTCTACTACTATTATGTTTGAATTAACAATGCTATCTATGTACTAATGTGGTATGGTAACTTGAACTGATCTACGTACGTAAAAAGTTCTGTGTTGTAGCTGACTGTCAGGGCCGCCTCATTGTTCGAGCCGAGAGCCTGTATGAGGTCAGTGTACTTGTGTATTACTCCTTCCAGTGAACAACTGCCACAGAGCATCGCGATCGACACAGATGCCGCCTTAATGTCGGGGAATACAACTATTGTCGGACGCCGAAATGTGTTTCTCTGTTTTTCTAGAACCTGACGAGGTGTGGATATTTGATCTATTCACTCAGGTCCAGGTCTCAATGCAGCCTGGTTTTCTCGAGTCTGCTCTTCACGCTCTCTAATTAAGCGTTGATGTATTATTTAAACTAATATCTTGGACACTATTGGTAAAACTGATTCTTCTGTGATTGTCACAAGAAGACATTTGTCCTTTGTTATTGACTGGAACCATCACTGATTTAGACCAGTTGGATGGGATTATGCCTAGTTTCCGAATTCCATCTAAGATCTCAGTCAGTCTAACTGTTAAACCTAAACGTCAATCTATCAGGGCCTGCTGCTCTCCCTCACTTTAGATTTCATATGGTCTATACAACCACATTAAGAGTTAGAGAACTTACATCAATTCGCCATTCAGGTTGACTGAAACTCGTGGATAACTGAAGTGTGACCGTAGGCCATTTCAATTGATCCCTGAAGTCTTCTGCCCATCGATCCAATCTCCTGGATTGAGACTGAATAATAGTTCAATCCCTTTCCGCGATAGCCTCACTAACAGTTGGATTCTTAATTTCGGTCTCTTTGATAAGCCTTAATAGTTGTCTTCTGTACCAACTGTAGCTTCTACCTTGACGTGGTGGTTGGGCTTGCCTATCGTGATGACCCAACCGAGCTATATTGCCTGGAACATATGTTTCTGAAGGTTCTACCCTGCCAGATAGGTCTGTTGGAGAACGATGAGACTAAAAGCAGCTACTTAAGGTCTAAGGGCGTAGTTATTCTGCTGATTGCAGGAGGGTGCAACAGCAGTAAGGTGTTTCCCTCGGACAACCAGCATCTGCAGTGATGCTGCTGTCACACCTCATCTTACCTCACGGATACCCGTCTCCAGAGGTAAGTCTTTTTAAGCAAGAGCGGAGCTACCACTTTAAAAACTCATCTGAACCTAAACATGTGCCGCAGAACGAGCGGCAGTCATATATCGAACCCCTCCATCAGAGGCCGATGTGATCTAGTTGGGTACAACGTTGAGACGTCTATGGGGGTTGCCAGATCAAGAGATGTTTTTCCTTATGCCTAAAGTTAGTGTTTGCTGGAAATAGGCGATTGTCTGAGAGCGTGACCGCAGAGCTCCAGGGACAACTGCTTGAGGCCAATCACGCACGGCCTTTTTATGAGTTTTTAAGGTGGTAGCTCCGCCCTTGTTTAAAAGCCCTTACTTCCAGAGACGGGAATCGCTGCGGATGCTGATTGTCCGAAGGAAACACCTTACTGCTGTCACACCTCTCTACAGTCAGCGGTACGACTTCGCCCTCAGACCTTGAGTAGCTGCTTCTAAACTATTATAGCGAAAGCTTGTTTGAGATTTGGCTACTAGAAAATCCATCACTTGTGAATTTTTATGAAGTAGATTAACATTTGCACTATGACTGGTACTGCTAATCGCATTATGTGTCTCTGGTTCAGATTCTTCTATTTATGAATGTAGAATTAGTGACCAACAATGTACCCTTCAAAGTCAGCATGGTTTTGTTCCTAAGTGTGAAAGTACTAAAGACAAGCGACTCAGCTGTTACATACTAGGTTTGAAAAGACTATGAGATCAATTCTATTTTGAAGCACAATCCTATGCATATGTTCCCACACTCAGTCAAAAACTGAATGCTGATATTTTCCGAATAGTTTTCTTATTTTCTGCATAAGAACAATCCGCAGTTTTAAATGACACATTCAACTGCTTACCTTATGGGATCGGCTTTAGATATTATGCAAACCGTCAAGTGATTGAAGTGCTTTTAGAATTCACAGTTCCTCATGTTATAAAAACGTGGTCAATGGTATGACTTCAGTATCTATAATTTTGACCTAAGTATTAAAATGACTGGAAATGTTTTCACGAGTAAGCAACAAAAGATAAGACTTTTGGAACTGACGGGATTGGTTCTTTTGGTGGCTGAATACTGCAAATATAAAATGAGTTACATTTACAATGAAGTCATCTATAGATTGACTGTTCTGTCCTGTAAATCTTAAAAACGTAGTTTGTGATAATAAAGTAAAAGTAATAGTGAATGAAGACAAGGTGAGTTCAAAATAATTTATAGTTGCCACTGCGACTGGACAAAATTGTCAGAAGTCATTGATGAGTGACAAAAGGATTTATATCGTAAACTATTTTGAATAAAATCGAAATAAATGAGTAAATGGCGACTGTAGTGGATTTCGGAATGATTGACAAATACTTCACAGACTAACTTTGTGTTGATGCTGAAATAAAGTGTAGCCTCATAATAATTTACGCGAATCGAAGGTAAGCTTTATTTCGTTACATATTCAACTCGCCTAAACTGGAGTCGAATCCCGGGACACATCTCACATTCAGCTGTCTTGACTTTTCACCCACATACGTAGCATTACAGTCATTTCCTTTGATCTCATATACACAATTTTGTTATCCTTCCTTATTCTGAGTGCTTGATTCTCATAAGTTCAGAGATCAAAATAATGTTTATTTGAGACGATACTCTTATACTGTAGTGATTTAGAATCCTTCTGATCTCTTCTGAAGTTCCTTTACGATACAGGATCACTACCATATTAACCCACCCTTTTTGTTGAAATTTTTTCATCATCATTTTGAACTTCTCTCCTAATTGTTTTTCCGTGAAGCCTCTAGGTTAATTACTCATCGTCAAAGTGAACATAATTAAATCCACTTCAGTTTTCGTCACTTGGTTCATTCACGAGTTTTTGATCCCTGTTTATCAAATTCTCACCATCTGTTACTAGTGGGATGGGAATGTACTGACCTATAGTCTAGATATTATTAGCCTTCGAAACATTGATTTTCAAGTGGTCATTATGTTTCTTTTCAACTGGACAGTCAAGGAAAAGTAATTTATGGTCAGTGGATTCCATCTGTTTAGTGAATTTGATTTTATCAGAAATACTGTTGACGTTTTCAAAAAGTTCGTCTAGTCTATGTCGTTTTATAATCACATCCCACCTATTTCCAATTAATGCAGAAGTTAAAAATATATGTGAAAACCAGTGGTTTCATAGCCACACCTGTTTATCGGCATATTTCTCCTTAAAAACTGAATGAAGTAGAATTAAAGCACATATTCAGGGCTTTTGGAATATCCGAGATATCTAATGAACATTGTTACTTCGACTCAGCGCCAGAATTTAAATGATTATATACAACATTTTAAGCCTTTTTTGATGGAAACATTAGTGATCAAAAATCAAACCCCAAAACTTACCTTTCATTGATCTACCATTTGGATGGTAATAATAATGTCTTTGAATTCATTAGAATTTTTGACTCATAACGTCTATCGTGGAGGTGTTCGGTTATGGATAAGATTCTCTTATTCGTTAGTAATAGGTAATGATACCATGTGACTGAGACCGTCTTATTAACTTAAACCCCTGATCCATTGACATTAGAAAACAAAATATCCGCCGAATAGAATAGGCTTATCTTATCCAATCAGATAAGGTGATTGTATTTAAAATGCTAGCACAATGGCAAACATAATTATGCTGTGAACCATTGAACAATATTTAATAGACCACTCACTCTTCACGGAATTAAGATCTGATTGTTAAACTTAGATTTGTGTTTCAAACCATTATCAAGGACAACGGTTATGTGCTTGATGATAATTCTAGTACCTTATATGTAGACCTTTTTGCTGTTGTTTAATAAGTTTGGGCTCTACATGTTTAGAAACTCACCACAGCTTTACTGACTATGAAATGCTCTCAGCGAGTCGAATTTTGGATATTCATGTGTCCCTATTGTAAGTGGCATTGAAATAGGTTTTATTCACTATTCCAAGGATGAAATAGTTACATCTTTCTTATTTGGTTTCCAAATCAAACATTTCTCAACAACTTCTGATTTTCCTTTATTCAGTTTCCACTAGCTTGTGGGATATGCTAACTATCGTTTTACAGTAATAATTAACGGACTCTTGATGACTGACAGCTGTATAGCACAAATACGTGAATTCAATCGTGTTATTTGGGGTGGATCCGATGTGAAAACAGATTTGTTTAAACGTTGGTGTCAAGGTGAATAACTTTCGTTACTGTGACGTTGCTTAGGATTTTCATTTAGCCCTGTTGAGTTTAGTGCTTTAGTACAATCAACAGGTGGTCCATGTGCTGTCATAGCTACTACTCAAGCCACGATTATGTACGAAGTGTTGTTCATTCGTAAACAGAACCTTGCCGATATTACTGGTACGTTTTTGTAATGAAATTGGCACTAAAAAATTAGATGTTGACAATATGGACATCCTACTTAGTGCACTCTTAAGAATAATTATGTTGGTTTCAAGTGATCGCCAAAGTCAGTTTTGTTGGGTCTACTGGTGCGAAGATGAAGAACCAGCAAGTTCTGAGTCCTCTATTCAAGGTTTGTAACAAGATCAGTTTTGAGAATTTTTATTTTAGATGAAAAATGTACCACCAGTGATTTTATCGTTTGCAATAAATCATTGGATCCTAACAGAAATCAACTTTCAGAATGCAATTTTCAGAAATTTATTCATGGTTTAAAGTAAGCTACATGTGTTTTGTGTGATTTGGATTTTTTATATTTTTTCTCCTACTCAAAATTAATCGCATCATTTTGGGATAGCAAAGCAATTCTTTTCGGTAAAGATAGAAAGAAACTATTAGAATAACATATTTAGGCGAACAGTAGCGAAAATATCAAATTTATTAAACTAATCAAGGAAACCTATGAGTTAAGGACAAAGATAAAAAAGAAATTACATAACTGATCATAATAAGTAAAAGTACGAACTTAAAGTAAGGTGATTGGTTAAACAGTAGAACAGTATGGGTATTGATTAAAAATTCTCAATAACTTTCATATCACTTTTCCAGGGAGCTTATCTTTAATTTTCATATGGCATTCTGAAGTCTGATGTATGACAGTGGATCTAAAAATAACTTTATGTTTGTTGGATTGGATTTCTTTTTGTACTTCATCTGTAGTAAAAATTATCTATCAACACAAAGTTATAAGTTAGTAAAATTTCTGGGCACGCTGCCATGAAACGGTACTTTTCGTGTTTCTGCACATAGCTATTTATTCGAAGCAATTGTTAACTTTGGTATCCAAACCCTTCAAATATGTCATCGTCTGTTATGCAGTAATCAGTCTTATTTTTATGTTGTTAATCTTTTAAACATTCACATAGTCATCAAATAGTTTGTATCTGCTTAGTTCGGTAGTCCTCCGTGGGTTTCATTATTGAAATTTATTGGTGTTTTCGTAAAGTTGGTCCAAATTTATGCCATTTGTAATACAAGATAGTTTTATCATACTGTACCCGTGTTTTCTTCGATTCAATGTTGTAAACTCAGGTTAAGATGTCGTTTTATGATTTTGGCAAACTATCAGTTTGCTTCTTTAAGGTGTTATAGTACACAGAATAAGGAAGAATATGAAACAAGACAAAAGACAGATGTATAAACGAAGAATATTCTATTCAATAAGTTATCATCAGCTTCTACAATCATAAAACCAAACTGACTTGGATTTTTTCGATAAACTAAAAACATTGAAAGTGTTCTGTGTTATGGTCAGTTCTGATTTCCACTAAAATGCACAACCCAAAAGCTTATCTACTTAAAGTGTGTGTGTGTGTGTGTGTGTGTGTAACTCCGTTTCATGTTATCTTTATTCACATAATCATAACATAAATATTCTTATGATCTCACATTTAGATAAATCTTATTAAGCAGCACTTTTTGGTTGGTGAAATTTAAATTATGTTTATGATTACAGATAAAGTGTCTTTTTTAATTAGGTGCTTCGAAGCCGAGACTGTTGAAGAACTTCGCGCAGTTGCTTTCTCTTTACTACCTCAAATAAAATCACAGTATGGAGTATTATGCTTCCTTTATTCTGTTTTGTTCACACATGGACTTCAATCACTTATAAATGAAATGAATGGTGAAATGGATGCCTTGATTGACCCCATTCATGGGCATGCTAGTCAGTGTTTGATTAATTTATTAATTACTGGAGAAAGCACGCCATATTTATTTGATGGGGAGCGAGATCTTGGAGGATTTAGTAAGTGTATTTCCCATTGATTGTTAGGCTGGCATTAAATTTCATTCATTAATATTTTATCGAATTACATGTAATTATTAATTGGAGCATATTCAGACAGACAGATGTCATCGTTCGGAAACAAATTTACATTGGTCCAAGTTGCTATACTAGATTATCACGGAGAAATGAAAATAACCAAAAGTTTAAATAACGTAATAGCAATAATGAGGGAATTCGATATGAAAACACTCAGTTGCAAAGTGTATATGGAGGTGCACTAAAATTGGACATTGAAAGATAAAATATCTAGTGAATGTACTCCATTTTGAATGGTTCTGAGGCATGTCAACCTAAAGTTTCCAACCTCTAATCCTGATTATCACACAGACTCCAACCAAGTATTCTGCTTTTTCAATATGGCTTAGAGTGATGCCATGTCTTGGTATGGGCATCTCGAGATTTCTCCCAATCTATTCATGCACTACAAATCCTTGCTTCTGGAACTGGGCTGTGGTTAGGCACACACAATACATACCCTAACAACCTCATCAACCGATTTCTCACGTATACGAAGTACTTTATATCTTCTATGTAATCTACTTTCACAAACCAGGATTTACAATCATAGAGTAGGACGGAGCAGATTTCTATGATCTGATTTGCTTAACATATGTATAAAATGGAACACACTGACCACTTCCTCAGTTTGTGTATTACTCATGTTCTGTCAGTCAATCAGTCACAACGTAAAACTTCGTACATGAGTACATGAGTTCAGGTAGCCATACCACTTCAGCACAGAGATGCAACTGTCAGTTCAAATCCCATAGTGGTGAAGATAGAAGAAGAATTAGTGGTAATGGAGAATATCAGGGTTCGAAGATATAATTCGAGAAGTATAATTCAGTGAGATAATTTTAGAAAGAGAAAGAGATGATGAGGAATTCAGAATATTAGAATTTGAGAGAACACAAAGAATGAATGCACCTGTGCCATTGCAAACTATATAGAACCATGTCGTTTAAGGTCTCTAACCATTGATTACTATCGTCTCGCGGACCCGAACCAGGTAGTCTACATCTACCAAAATGGCACTGTCCCCCTGTCAGTAACTTCATGGATTTGCGCCATGTTTCGGTTTGGCCGCTCCTAGCTTTCTTCCAACCTACTCTTGCACCACAAAACATCGCTCGTCGAGACAGTCGGTGGACGAGCATACGTAACACATGTCCTAACCACCTCAACCGCTGGAGTTTCAATACTGCATCTATTGATCTGCCATCCTTATCTAGTACCCTTTTCCCAACAACAGCATTGCTGATTCGATTGTCCCAGGATATACGAGTAATGCTTCGGAGACATCTATAATCGAATACTAATAGCCTGCGAATGTCCTCTACTCCCATCGGCCATGTTTCGTATCCATATAGCAGGACGGAGCGAACTGCTGCTCAGTACACTCGTCCTTTAGTTAGCAAACGGATATCTTGTCTGCACCATAGGTGTTACAGGTTGGCAAAAGTCAATCAAGCCTTATGTATCCGTGCTGAAATTTCGTCAGTCACCAGGCCATCAGCACTGATGAGACTCCCCAGATAAGTGAGGCGGTCTACATCCTCGAATACCTCACTTCTTATCGCTGGTTCAGGTGCCGAAGCAAGATAACCTTGAAACAAGATTTGGCATTTTGAGGGGGAAACCGCATCCTAAATCATGTTCCATAGGATTCACTCGAAATATTAAACAAGATTTTGGTTCCCTAATTATGTAGTTTTATTTATAACATAAATTCTGATACAATGAGGTATTAAAAAATGTTCTGTATTATAAATGATGTATTAGTACTAAGAAGGAGTAAAGCAGGTACCAGAGCTTATATCATTTTTATGATTAACGTAGTAGAACGGTAGAGTTGCCGTTGCCTTCTGTCCTGAGCGACATCTGTAAGTATACCGAATCATTTAATTTCATGACGATCTTTCAGAGGTTTGGATTACTTATTTACCTCGCTTCTTTAGTTTGATTAAGATCTATTAGCTGAGAAATCCAGGAGAGTTTGGTCAATGTTGTTGAGGATAACACTGTTTGAATGACCCTGCAAAGTACTATTCTCAACGTTTAAAACATCTTTTAAAGTTTCTAATTAGCTTATGATCAACTTCACAAGTCATACAGTATTTCTTGTTACCATGAATTGAACAAAAAGCCAGCAAAGACCAGATTTAGCTAGTTACCAACTCACAAACGAACTTTTACCACCATGTTTCTTGGTCCTTACATCACTAGCTTGGAGAAGCTTTAAGTGCAGTATAGAACTTGAGACTAACGGGAATGGACAACGTGCCTCAGTTCATTTTGGGCGAGGTTTCAGAGGTCTAATGTTTGAAAGCAGGACGTTTCGCTGAGCGTCAGGCAACTGGCACTTGTTGATCTGTACTTTTCAGTGGAATTCGCCATTCGTAAACGTTGAGCGTATTTGAAGAGCAGATGATTCACTGATAAACTATGGCTATTCATTCATGTAGCGGTATGTTTTCATACCGTTATGTATTGTAGTATATCAAGTAAACGTCAATTTCGTTAACAGTAAGTTTTTCCGAACATTTAAACCAACTTCAAGAGTTCTCAAAATTTTAATCATTCTTAATATATATCAGTTTATCTTCAAGCTTTTCTATAATGTTAATGGATGCCTGATTCAATTGAGTTTTGTTTTACTGAGGGCAATTAAAAACATTTCAACTAACTCATTTATAGACATCATAAATTTTCACGTAATTTAATAATATAAGTGAGTTTCTCCCGGAGTAAAGTAATATAGTGAGTATATACCTGGATGGGAATGTTCCAAAATAATTCATTTAAAGCACCTATATTATCCGAACCACTCAAATTTACTAATTCTTATTAAGATAGTAGTATTTGAAATGAAAACACTTTCCACTCAACAATTGAATTCGGGTTTGAAATTTCCATAATTACCTGGATTTATATGCATACTACACCGATTTATATTTGGCTGCTGGACTGAAAGTGCATACGTTACCTGAGATATATTTTATATTCGTACAATGTAAGTGAATAAATCTGGATGACACTATGTGTAATACAAATTCACATCAATCCACTTCAATTCACAGAAGCTGAATGATTTAGAGGTTTTATGAAAATTCACAATCAGAAAGTGAAGCATATCGAATTTATTCAAGAATTTTCATAAAATATTTGATTACATTATAATTTGCTTATCTGATTCTTTCATGCTAATCCAATAAAGTTCCATCTAATTAACTAATAGGTTTATCTTACATGCTCAGGGACTAATCTCTAAACATTTTTAATTGATGTCAGTATAAAAGTATTATTATCAAGGTTTAACTAGACAATTTCAAATAACATGTGCATTGGATACATTGATAGTAATAAAAATAATGGTATATATTTGCAATGAGTAAGAAATTAATTTTTCTGATGTTTTGTGAGTCATTTCTTCAAAGAATAAGTAAACAAGTTAAACCTAAGTTTAAATAGTACAGAGAACGGAGCAAAAGTATTTGGTACAATCAGTCAGTCAAAAACGGGTTTAAGTCAATACTATGTCACTCTGACCAAGGTGATTTTTGTAAGGCATTCTTATGTATTTGTATGTTAATAGGCGTAATATAAGAAAGTTAATTTGAATTTATGTGCATGGAAACATGGTGTCATATATGGTGGCTTAGATAAATGATCCAAGTTGGACAGATAGTTAGGTCTTCTTTTCAACTGAGACCAATAGAATATAGCGGTATACAAAAAGCCTTAGCTATTCATCTTTCTTTAGTTGAAAAAGAATTTATGTATTATTTTGATTCTCTTAATATCGCTCTGATGGTCATTGAAGATAGCGTTCACTGCTATCGCCGATGTGAATATAGTTTTAAGAGCAACATTACTCACTAATTTGCTGATGTTACATAATTTACCAACTGTGTCAAGTATCAACATAATTTGAAAAGATTTTCTCACGTTTAAAATATCTATACGTGCACCCTCTTTCTTGAGTATGTTGATCAACGAACATCAACTATGCTTTGGAATGATCAAAAATTATCACACAAAGTAGTGTTAAATGTTAGCTAAGTATAGTACTAGCCCTATTTTTGTATGTCGGTAACTTTCAGTCATCGAATTTATGTAAATACAAAATCGTCTCTAAGCAGAGAATCTATTTTTGTAATATTTTACTTTTTTGGTTTATTCTCTATACAGCATTAAAAGGTATATCCAGGCAACCGAAAACTGGTTTCTTGACTTTTGTTGAAGCGATGAGATATTGTGAAGTTGGATGGTTTTTGAAAAATCCATGTTACCCAGTGTGGGTTTTGGGTTCGGAAACACACTTAACTGTCTTGGCGTCACCAGATATGTCGTTAGTATCGAAAAATGCAACATCAGAAAATAACTCCAGCATATCGGGTATACGTCAAGCTGAAATTGAATTCAATTATCTCAGCCCGGATCAAGATACGGGAGGCTTTATCAGTTCAGTTGATTTCGAAAAATTATTGACCAAATTGCAATTGCCTACAGGACCTTTACAGTAAGATTTTCTAAAAATCATCTCATTGTTTCTTTTGTGGTCTTGACAAACGAAAATTATTTTGTTATTACAAATTCCTTTTTCCAGTTATTGGGAAATGCGGATTCCTAATAATAATGAGTGTTAGTTACATAATTTATAATTATTTTACTTGGAAAATTTAAATACAGCTTCCGTCGCTATAGATAAACCATGTATGTCTGTCATAAAATAAGGATAACAGAAAAGTAATCAAAAATAGATATATACAGGTTTAATAATTAGGAAAACCTCCCCCCATTATCAATATATTCACCTCCTCTCCGAAATTTGTGTTAAAGTCACCGCCAGCATCTACATTTAATCTAATATTTTAGACCACTATTCTAGATGGTTTGCACGACTGTAGCAAAAGGCAAGGAATACAAATGACAAACAACCGTCTAACAAGTTTCCAGTGGCTTCCAAATACTAAGTCATCATATTGAAACACCTAAGTAAATATAGGTTATTACTGCCATAGCTACTAAGTTTCGAATGGATAATGACTTTTCTAATGATAAAATCACTATTATGCCTAAACACAATTTTCTAAACTTGGAGAGTGGTACGGAAAAAGCCTCAGTGGATTAGAAAGAAACACTGAATATCCTGTAGGTGATATGGAAATTCTCAACTCCAACTTATGGGAAACAAAATAAACAGTGAGTACAAGGTCTGCTTCCAACATATTACTTTGTGGGCTTTCAATATGTATTTACTATGGTCAGTATTTGATCACAGTTACTAAGTCTCTAAATTATGATAATCGTGATCGACGTATGACTAACTGAAATGTATTTTTAAAGTTTATTGTATTCATTATCAACAAAGCTTTCACTACAAAAGCATACTTCCTGCTTTAGTTACCAGATCAGGTAAGAATAGGATAGCAGTAGTATCGTTACTCGCATTCAAGTTAGAGTTGTAAAATTATAGCTTAGCGCACAAACATATCGTATCTAAATGATGTAAGAAGTGTACACATAAAAGCTCTCTCCTCTGTATTTTATGATGACATAGCCTATAAGTTGAATAACGTAGTGTATTGTATTGAATTTTTTTTATACGAAAGTTAGTATTGTCCGTTTGACCAATCAAGCTTGCGACTAAATAAATCTTCAACTCCACGGGGGTGATATGGTAGCCGTGATCTTCACAAATGTACTTGTGTTAAAAGTTCGTAATAATCTCACAAAAATCTGTCGGTTATAGTCTCAAAGTTCCTCATACTAATTGCAGAACAAATAATAGCCTCACCATTGGAAACCGCTTCAAGCTGTTGCGCTTAATAATACATTAGTAAACAACCAGCTTTATGGAGTAAGTTATAAGTATAAGATAAAATATGGTAAAAATAAGGTGTCAGTCCGACTTACTATATCTTCGGTCAAGCTTCATAAAAAAATTATTATCATACTTTTTCTTTCAGAGTGAATGATTTGGTCACAAAACTAGATCCTGAAGGTTTGGGAATCATTTTGAAGAGAGATTTCTTACAGTTCTTTTTCCCCGAAGAAATGGCAAAACGCGCCACTGACGTTATTAGCTTTCAGCTAATCCATTACAATGGTCTGGAGCACTCTAATAGTGATGGCCGGGTGAGTTGTTTCTATTAATCCTTACTTTTAAAATTATTTGAATAATCGTTCTAAGGCTTACAAATATTTGAAAAATAAAATAATCGAAGCAGTGCAATAATCAAGTACAGATATGTGTTACACTTTTTATACAAATGCTTTTGATTTCATTCGGATGTTCAGATTCTAAGAAGTGGAGCGGGTTCGGACCTGCAGCTTAATGGATTGTATTAAACTGCTTTAAACTTTGAGTCAGCATAAGATTTCTAACTTGATTCGGTGGAGAAACAGGATTTCAAATATTTCCAGTGTGAAATCCCTAAGTTGATTCCTTACATTACCGTTTCTTAAGCGAAACATTGGCTGTTCAAACGATTATACACCCTTTGTTAATGATAAAAATATTACTGTTCAAAATTTTGTGTAATATCGTTGCGGAAGTTAATTATCACTGAAGTAACTACTGCCCTTTTCTTATAAGCAGGTTCGGTACAGTATTGGTGAAGCCCATTTAATAGATCCTACAGAAGAGCTTGTTGAAACTCAGCCTGTTGATCAAAGTCCTATACAGCAGTGCTTGGCAACAAAATGGCCTACAATACGAATCAAATGGAACGTAAACAGAAGTCCATCGCTAAACTAAATTACTTGTAATATATTACAGTAGCAGCTCATCATTATTACCCAAATGCTTTCAAATTAACAGTTGTACAGTTTATTAATATGTAAACAAAATGAAGTGCTTTTATGTACGTTGCCATGTTTTAACATATTTAATCGCCTCGCTATGCTATTTGTAAGATCATTATAAAAATTTAAAGTTTTTGATTTAGTCCTAGAAACAATCACTCAGTCAGTCAGTCAGATGCAACGTAGAACTTTGTACATAAGTACATCAGTTCATGTTGCCATACCACATCAGCACAGAGAAGTAATCGTCAATTCAAATCCAATAGTAGAAGAGGTAGTAATCGGAGAGGTTAGGATTAGAAGATACTATTCAAGAAGTATGATTCAGTGAGAAAAGTTTAGAGAGTCGAAACTAGAGGGGTTGAAGGATGCACAAGATTAGGGTTTCAGAGAACACTAAGAATAAATGCACCGGCGCCATTGCGAACGATTTTGAGCCATGTCATTCAAGGTCTCTAGCCATCGATTATTATCATCTCGCGGACCCCAACCAGGTAGTCGACAATTACCGACATGGCTCAGTCCACTAGTCAATGACTTCATGGATTTATGCCATGTTTTGGTTTGGACGCCCCTAACTTTCTTCCAGCCTATTCCTACACTACAAAACAAGGCTCGACGAGGCAGTCGGTGGTTGGGCATACCCAACACATGTCCCAACCACCTCAACTGATGAAGTTTCATTACTTCATCTATTGATCTGCCATTCTTACCTAGCACCCGATTCCTAATAACAGCGTTGCTCACTCGGGTGTCCCAGCATATACGAGTAATGCTTCAAAGACACCTATGATCGAAAACCAGTACCCTACGAATATCTTCTACTCTCACTGGCCATGTTTCACAGCCATAAAGTAAGACGGAGCGAACCACTGCGCAGTACACTCGTCCTTTAGTCAGCAAACGGACATCTCGCCTACGCCATAAGTGACGCAGGTTGGCGAAAGCCAGTCGAACCTTCTGTATCCGTGCTGAGATTTCGTCAGTCACCAGGCCATCAGCACTGATGAGACTCCCCAGATAAGTGAAGCGGTCTACACGTTCGACCACTTCACTCCCTATCACTAGTTCAGGTGCCGATGAAACCCAATCTTGAAGCAACATTTTGCGTTTCGAGGGGGAAAACCGCATCCCGAACATGCATTGTTGCTTAGGGTAGTCAGAAGACTCTGCATTTTGTCAGCGTCTTCACCAAGTAGGACAATGTCATCGGCATATTCTAAGTCAATAAGCGTTAATGTACTTCTTTGGTACACCTTTCAATGATAGACACTGCCACAGAACCTCACGACCCACTGAGCCAAATGTCGTCTTAAGGTCCAGGAAAACAACTATTGTAGGACGCCTAAATGTGTGTCTGTGTTCCAGGACCTGTCGTAGTGTGAAGACGTGGTCTATACGGCCACGTCCAGGTCGAAAACCAGACTGGTTTTCTCTAGTCTGCTCTTCACGAGCTTTCGTTAAGCGTCGAAGTATTATTGAGGCCAATATTTTAGATACTATATTAGTTAGACTTATTCCCCTGTGATTGTCACAAGAAGACTTCTGTCCTTTCTTGTAGATCGGGACAATCAAGGATTGAGACCAGTCGGATGGGATTGCGTCCAGTTCCCAGATTCTACCTAAGATCTCAGTCAACCTAGCTGCTAAAACTGGACCACCATCTTTAAATATCTCAGGGGTCAGTCTATCAGGACCTGCAGCTCGTCCTCGTTTCAGATTTTTAACGCTTTCTCAACGTCATTAAGACTAGGGGGACTTAGGTCGATTTGCCATTCAGGATGACTGGAGATCGTGGGTAACCGAAGAGTGGCTCGTGGCCAGTTGAACTGATCCCTAAAGTGTTCTGCCCATCGATTCAGTCTCCTGAGAAACAATCACTACTTCAATGTCGTCAGCACCCACTAAGTTTGGTTGGATATGTATGAGATTTAGAACGTAGATCCATATTTTTCTCTGGGCTTTTGCCTTCGAACTTATCATCTATCGCACCACTGATTAATGATGATTGATATTAGCCACACGATGGTTATACATACTCACTTGTATTAAATGAACCTTAGTAATATTCACTTAGTATTCTTCGATACTATAGATCACTAGTGTAAGCGACATATACAAATGTCCAGTCAGCTCCAGTTGGACGGGAATGGTATGACCTCCTAGCCTACCTTGCTTCTGACGGACTGAGATGGAATTTTTCAAATCATCGGCCCATTAATGTGATGAGTGTAGTCATATCTGCAGAAGGATGGCCAAAGAAGGGTTACAAATCTCAAAATAAACTGTATATTAACGGAAGGACGTTACGAACAGTTTATTTACAAGGAAAAAGATACTCTTATTTCTTGACAAATCGACTGACGGAATCAACCTCCTGACGTTTGCCTAGGTTGATTAGTGAGTGTAATGTTGTTTTCAGAGGGAAAAGTATTTAATGCTTAAATCTCCTCTTGGAAATATGTGCTTAGTAGAGTACCTTAGGATGCGGCAACAGGTCCGTTGTTGTTTGTTTTTTTAAGTTGAAAACAGGACGTTTACAGAACTGCATTTTAGGAACATGCTTTGTCAGAAGTATATATATTTGTACGCATTTGAAGTACATTAACAAAGTAGACTCCTTGATGAATACTTGTTTACAGAAAGTCTGAAAAATTGTGTCGACAAATCATCTAACTAGCAACAATAATGACACTAGTCAATGAAGGTAGAACTATGAGATATGTGAATCGATTTGTATGAATATTCGGTACGGTAGGAAGTAATGTGAGCGTGAGAATACATGTATGACATTGTATGCATGAAATAGGAATGAATGTTGTACAAAGCGAAAATGTACAGACAAAATCACCTACAATGTGGTGCAAATTACTGGGTTACGATTCGAGTTTAATAACAGTAAGTTGCATCTTAAAATGCAACCTGGTGAGTGCAGCTGAAATCCCAATTGCATATTGCCCATTCAGTCAATGGAATAACACTAAATGTCGAACTTGCTTGTCAGACAACCTGTGAATTTAACTGAATAATGCATCTCCACCTCTGTGTAAATACATGCTTGTAGAAGTGAGCACGTATCTTAGTCTATTTACTCATCTCTTTGATGTTCTGGAACGCTTAATGTATAAAACATTTGGTCGATTATTTTCCTATACGAATATATTAACTTGTTAAGCAGTATTTACTTATTCACTCGTTGCTTTGTAGATTGACCTTAGCAGAAGTAGTTCCAGTTATGATACACTTTGAATGGACAGTCATAACGTGTGCAGCTAAAACGTTGTGTAAATAAACTGTTGTGTCAGACTGGAAGTGATGATTGTTGAGCTGCTGACAGTCACCACACAGCAACTCGTCATGAATACGTTTAGTAACTAATCCTAACAGGAGGGCTTACAGACAGGCTAACATACAATACATACCTGCGTTGTGTTAGCAGTAATTTCAGTCACTGACGGACAGTGGTCTCTCTTGAACATGCTTACTAGTAACAGTTTAGTGGCAAGTGTCATTCAATTTTCAGTCTCCTTGATGGTTGGTCTCTATATTTATTCAAATTCCTTCAGAACTGAGGAGGCAGAATGTTTCGTTGATTTTTTCTAAATACTGTGTTATCTACACGGTGTGATGATCTCATGAACTTTATGAAATTGTCTGAACAAATGAGGTTATAAATCAGAAGGCAAATACGAGGTGTCTAATTCGTTTGTTTTTAGCACGTCACAAAATGGGACAGAAGACCACAAGCAGAGAGGGCAGGTACACTAGCGGGCGGATGAATGGATGAAGCGAATGGGAGAAGGCCAGTGAGCCAATTCCTAGAGATAAAGCATGACTAAGAATTTATATTCAGACAAAAATAAGACAGACATGTAAACGAGTAGGTATGCACACACATTAATGCAAGCGACGAGTGAGTGACAAAGTCAAAAGACAAGTCATGTGAGCTAGATATTGAATGACTCACTACAAGATATTGAGGTTTCAGCAATTAATGAACAGTGGCAGCTACAACAGAAAAATCCCGTCAGTGTGGGGGTAGCAAGTACTGATTATAGTAATCTTTCGAGCGTTTGTCTTATCAGCCGCTGGAAGTTACGATGTCGATTATAAAAGCATGAACGAACATAGAAACGATGCGTATCACTTGTTATTCATACATATTTACATATTCTGTCAATCGATTGCTAAACAGAATGCGTTTCACTGTACGAGAAATTAATTCGCAACCCCTACACACGTAGAAATTCTTCCGTTCCTAGCAGTTTATTTGAACTTTGCATCTTTTCGCAGTCATTAGCAGTTCGTCTTAACGCAACCGTTGTGACTCTCACCAATTGTTCACACTTGCAGCGTCTGGAAAACCATCTATAATTTTATCTGGAAAATCTTAGCCATCCATATGTAGCCAATTCATCTTGTGCAATATTTCAGTAACTGAACAATCTTTTACAAAAAATATGTCAGCGATCTTAACATTTCGATCTGGCCTGTAAATAGGCATGCTTCTTTTAGCCTGTTGTTATCTGAGAATAAATTATTATCATTAATAACAGACGTTGGAATTTCGAATAGTCAGGTGTCATAGTTCTGAAGGACAATCTGTGATAGGTAGCATGAGCAGCTAGCAGTCTACTTGATGTGGATGCTTACTAGGATTATTTGCGGAACCAAATTTTATGAGCTACGAATCACATAGTTTCACCAACAGTCCTGAGATATTACTAGCAATCTACGGCCGCAGGTAATCGTATTCGTCAGACAGTTAAACCTAAAATTTGCTACTGGGAAGAACATAAACGAACTATTGACAATAACATACATGAAAATTTCTAAATAGCAAGGAATCAATATAAAAGGGCGCTACAACAAAGTAACTAAATTTTCATCAATCCGAAGTGATTATTCTGTTACACATCGTCAGTTCGACAAGCCAAATCAGAAGTTTCTCAATTGTTGGGTCCTGAGTACGAGACCTACGGATATTGTAATGCTGCGAAGCTTCTGAAAGAACAGCGCTTTCAAGTATTATCTAAGAAAGGAAACTCCTGCCGATCCAGATATGGTTCACTCTGCTATACAGTGAGACGAGGCTTCAGTTTCGCGACATCGCTTATTATGATGTTCTCACATATAACCACCCTCCTGACAGAAGTGGACAGACGGATAAGCATCCTCAACTGCAACGAGAATGTTAATATGGCATACTTTTACTTTCGGAAGGCTTTTGTAATATCACTCATTGGTATCTCATGAATGGGTTCAAACTAATAGATATCAGGCTACTTTTGAAGGAGTAGTTTGCTTCGAATCTAAATAATCGACTTTTTAGGCCAGGGTTAACTTTAATGTTTCTCAAGCGTCCTAGTGCATTCCCCCAAGATTCACCACTAAATTAACAGCTCTGTTAGATTTATATAAACGACTTTCAAAAAGTATTGTCTGGGTTACTTACTTACTGTAACGAAAATAACAATAAAGTGAACCTTGCACTTGTAAGACTGAAGTGCATTTTTTGTCATTTTGATAGTAGAACGTTCCACCTACCCTTTAACAGGTTTGTTTGGCCCCATTAAGAGTATGAAAATATAGTGCCTTTTCACTCACTTCAAAACGACTGGAATATGCAGAACGTATACAAAGTAGATTCATAGAATCAGTTCGAAGACTCAAATTCAAATCTTATGAATAGCACTTCAAGTCACTGGATCTCTACCTGTGAGAGTATAAACGTCTCACTGGTGACATTTTAATACTCAAAACGTTCCAGAGCATCTCTTATATTACACTAGCTCGTGAAAAAGATATTGGATATTGGACCTACATAAGCTCATACACAACACGAACCTTATGGTAAATACACAGATATTAGGTGCACAACGTAGTAAAATGCATAGCAGACGAACCTGTTATTTAGTAGTTGAATTCTGAAATTTGTTACCGATAGAGATGATCCAAGAGACCTCCCTGGGTTCTTAGAAAATGAACTTGACTTTTCCTGAAAGACTGTTTACTACCATTTCTCTTTAACTCGTCTAATATACCTAGGTTCCTACTTGAAGAAGTTGGAAGTGAGAGTTTTTAAGACTGCATCTACAATCTTTTGAATTAGACATTCGTTTGTTTTTCTCATGTTGCAGATTGGCATGTGTTTAAATGTTTCAAAAGTCGCTCATTAGGTAAATACAAGTTTATAAAATCGTAGCAACTGCTACGTGTAATCCAACAGTTGCATTGTTTTTGGGCAATCGTTGAAATATGAGCCATTCGAACAATATTTTACATGAAGAAAACTTTTTTTCCAAATTCGGACAGTATGAATTCGAGAGAGCGAAGAGGCGTGAAGAGCTTCTTCAAGACTACCTAGAATTCAAGCAAAGAGAGGAAGAGAACTTTTATAACAGGTTCTCCGATAAAAAAAAATTTAACCAGTCGCAGAAACACGTGGAATCCTCGAAGGTTGACAGCCGTCGAAATAAAGCTGAAGCATATGGTATACAAGACCAGCTATTAAAGAGTGACTTAGGAAGCAGGTTAGCGGAGCTCGAAAATAAAGTTAGCTCACTCTTCAGCGACGAAAAGCCTGTAGTGCAAAGAAACTTTGATAAACCTGAGTACGTTTAAATTTAGTTCCCTGTAGTAATCTAAAATCTAAAAGTATTGTCAGCTCGAATGATAAATCCCTAGTATCATATACCGGGAGCGCTCCTCCGATCAAAGAATTGAAGAACAATGCTTTGCCTAACAGTCTAGACGCTGAAAGCAAGTAGGTTTAAATTTGATGTAAACTCAGTAGTAGTAATTACGAGGATCTGAAAAGACGCCTACATCAGATAACGGAAGCAGACAAGCGTCTTAATCTTATAGAAGAAGAATACAATAAGCTGAAAAATGTTCAAAGTTTGTATGCATTAGATCATTCAAATCCAGTGAATCAAGGTTTTCCCAACTTACTAGTGCGTTCAGGGAATTCTTCAAAGAATGAAGAGGAGTATTCTAAGCAAAATCGTAAAGACAAGTATAGGAAAGAGTTAGAATCACAGATTGCTGAGGCCGAGAGAAAGCGTTTATACGAGAAGGCGGAAAGCACAAAAGAGAATACTATGTGCTCTATAACGAACCAATTAAATAAAACATCAAAAATGGAAACAAATGAGATAAACCCAAATAAAACACATTTGGATTTAACAGAATGTCTATACTTTGATATAGGCCAGAAGGATTTGCTCGCAGCACATATGTCGAATCCATATTCACCAACTGAAAGACTGGCAACTAGTGGTAGTAGTAGCAGCAAACCGAATACAGTACAGAACCCAATAGATTTAAAATTAAAAAAGATGCAATATGCTGAAGAGCTGAGAAAACAGATTGAGGAGGCAAGGGCAAAAAAAGCTAAGCAGAAAAAAGAAGACGAAGAGTACAACAGAAAGATCGATGAGCAGAACTGCAACCTTGGCTTATCAAAGGAAATCAATCTTCCTCAGCAAAACGTACTAGACTCTGTCAACCTCCATCAATTTCCTGATCAACAAGCGTGTACTGGGTTAGATATGTCAAGCGAAACCAATCCAGAAGCTTTAGCTAGAGTTTCAGAAAGTCTAAAACCTAATTTTGCCAGAGGTGGACATGGAATATTTGGTAGCCCACTAACGGAAGTGCAGAAACGTAATCTTCAGGAGTACAAAAAAGAACTAGCTCAACAGATTGCAGAGAAACGTCATTTTATGGAACTTAAGAAGCAAAAGGAAATTGAGCTTGAGCAACGGGAATTGGAAAGGATTCGAGAAGAACGATCGAAAATGCAAAAGGAGTTTGAAGCTGAACAAGAACGGAAGCAAAACAAAGTTGAGAGAGATATTCAACAAATTAGTGACAAAATTGATATGAATACGGTGAAGCATAAAGGACACACTGGAACTAAAAAGTCTACTGAGATGAAGACTACCAGGTCCAAACGTCTGTCAAAAAATATGGAGTCACCAAAATGCAGTCCTAAAATCTTAATAGGACCACACACTAGTAAATTAGATCGTCTGAAGCAGTTTGATGATGAAACATCTGATAAAAGCGGCTGTGAAAAGATGCAGTCAATACTGAAACAGCTCAACACATTAAGAACTCAACTAGACAATGAGAAATCTAAGATTGAGTCGATGTATTACCAAAAGAGAAATCCTTATGGTTATAACAAAGAATATGTAGAGGTTGGTACATGTAAACAACGGTCTCGACCTCGAGTAAACATGAAGGCGGTGGAACTATTCCAAGATGCCTCGAGTATTGACAAAAATAGATCAGCACGGCAAATGCCTGGTAATGTTCAAAATTTCGAAACCGAAGGTTTGTTAGAAAGACCTTATAAAGAAGATTTACGAGAAATAGACCAAAAACAAATAGTTGTTTTGAGAAAACAAGACAATTATCTCCAAGAATTGAGAATGAAATTAATGCAAACTGTTAACGATAAAAGCAGAGCCCACTCGGTGGAGGAAAGAAAGTCACGAAGTTGGAACCCACCTGAGATGCGAAACTCACTGTTAGATGACAATGATTCGCTAATCAAACCTCAAAATCAGCTAGATGAGAGGCGGAAGTCAAATTCTTTTACTAACGGTTGTATTGACTTAAACCGAATCGCCGAAAAAAATAAACAGCGTTTATTGAGATTAGATGCAATCCAACTACTAAATGAAGTAAGTGATGATCCTGAATCAGTTCTGGAGCGTTTCGTTAGTGAACATGACGAATTGTTTTCAAGTGAACACAAAAACAATATATTTTAACCATTTCAATTTGGTTGTCCTTATTTCAATCAAACTGACTCACTTTACAACGAATATGTATGCTACATATCTGTAATATATATTTGAGATTGATTTATCTAAGTACATTACATTGGCAATCCATGTATTGAGATTATTTCAAGACATCATTGTTTAAAATTCATTTCGCATTTCGTTTTAGGACTGAAGGCAGTTATTATTACTAGAATTGGAAAAATACGGTTACATGGAAATAAATATATGGACACTATTCCCAACTTATTCATCTTACTGAAAGCATTTTTGTGTGGAAATTAAGAATGACGTATAATTTATACTTGTATCTTGAGAAAATTGCTAAGTTTGTATTAACTGAACAAAAGAGGAAGTTTGGGTTGTTCATAACATTTACAGCCTAAATCAGCTTAAAAGAAGCAACGGTCTAAATAAGTGAAACATTACATTATTTAATGGTTTCAAAAGGTATGGACTTAATTTAAGTAACTGTTGTTTCAAGCATAGCAAGAACAAAGTGAAATTCAGGTAAACTCCAGATTATTGCTCAAAAGTGAAAAGAGAAGAAACAGTTAATGTGGTCATCTAATTAGGAATTACGATGTGGATGGAGTACCTACACGTAAACTTTTAAAAGTGCAGAATGTTAGGTGGGTTGATATTATTAAACCCTGCAATTTATTTTTATATTTCGTCAAACAGTGATTCTATGCAAAAGCTATTTATCTCTTCGTTTGCGATAGTTTAGAAAGTTATTAGATCGTTAAACCAGATACTACTAATCCACCTTTCTATAGAATTATTTAGGAATACCTCATGGACATTTCGTCTGCCAAATAGGTGAGGAAATGTGGCAAAAGCCAACCGAGCATAAAAGACTCAAGAAAGAAGTATTAGGCGCCCCAACTACCTAAATTTAAGTGATCAATTTAGATAGTGCCGTAACTTATATTTAAGGTGGGAAACGAATCCCAAATGTGCTTGAAGTGTTGCCGACTGTGACCTGGAGACTGCATTTTGTCAACGTGGGCAGGACTAGCACTTGAAAAGCTTCTCAAAAATGGCCGCGCGTGACCGGCCTTAAGTAGTTATTCCCGGAGCTCTGCCGTCACGCTCCCAGGTCTCTAAGACAAACACTAATCTACCTTCCTTATCAGGTTCCTCAAGAAACACCCACGGTGTGAGCACCCGAAAAGTGACATCCGCCCTCATACCCGTAGCAGCACGCGAGACCAATTTGTTGACAATCAAATCCTTACTATGCCCCCAACATCTCCCTTATCTCCACGAATAACCCGTTTCATATTGCTTTATCACCCCGTACCGCTAATGAAAACGATGCAAGCTCATGAAATATTGTTCCTGGTCTCCAGGAACCCCGTTCTAAACCACATGTTGGAGCTTTTAATGTACGGACATTGTGCCAAATAGGGAAACACGCTTTCTTAGCTAAGACTTTTGAATCTCGCACCATCGATGTATCCTGCATCTCGGAAACGCGCATACAGGATACTGGTAAAATCATTCATTTGACCTCACATAGTCAAAATGAACAAGCAGCTCTATTTACTCTTCGTCTATCTGAAAGCCCTGATGCTGCTTCACGGGGTCTCGCTGGCGAAGGTATGGCACTGAGTCCTAGGGCACAACTAGCTCTCTTAGATTGGATCCCAGTAGATAGTCGCTTGTGCACTGTCCGACTGCACGGGACAGTAAGGACTCGGAAAGATAGGGGGCCTCGCCGTTGCATCTTTGTATCCGCATACTCTATCTCCGAATGCAGATTAGACGAGGTGAAGGATGAGTTTTATAGAAGGCCTTCGGACTTCCTCCAAAAAGCTAGGAAACCTCTTAGGGCTCTACTTAATGTTAATAAAGCAAAGAATATATTTCAGTCAGTCAGTAAAAACGTAGAACTTCGTACGGATGTACGTCGGTTCAAGTTGCCATACTGCATCAGCACCGAGACGCCACCGTCAGTTCAAATCCCATAGTGGTGGAGATCGTAGAAGAAGTATTGGTAATAGAGAATATTAACGATCGAAGGTGTTATTCAAGAATTATAGTACAGTTAGATAACTTCGGGAAAAGAAATATAGAGATGATGAATTCAAAAGATTAAAATTTCATTGAACACAAAAAATTGATGCACCTGCACCAGTGGAAATGATTCTGAGCCATGTCGTTCAAGGTCTCTAACAATCGACGACTTTCCTCTCGCGGATCCCAAAAAGGTCGCTTGCACCTACCAACATGATTCAGTTCGCTTGTCAGTGACTTCATGGATTTCTACCATGTCTCCATTCGGCCGCCCTTACCTTTCTTCCAACCTTCTCCTACATAGCAAAACATAGCTCGTTCAGGCAGTCGGTGGTTAGGCACACGTAACACATGTCCCAACCACCTCAACTGATGAAGTTTCAATACTTCATCTACTGATCTGCCAACCCTAACCAGTACTCGTTTCCTAACGACAGCATTGCTTAATCGGCTGTCCCAGGATATACGAGAAATGCTGCGAAGACATGTATAAGTGGATACTAATAATCTATGAATGTCCTCTACTCTTACCGGTCATGTTTCGCAGCCATATAGTAGGACGGAGTGAACTGATGCACAGTACACTCGACTTTTGGTTAGCAAACAGATATTTCGCGTATGCCATAGGTGACGCAACTAGGCAAAAGCCAATCGAGCCTTCTGTATCCGCGCTGAGATTTCGTCAGTCACCAGCACTGGTAAGACTCCCGAGATAAGTGGAGTGGTCTCCACGCTCGACTAATTCACTCCCTATCACCAGTTTAGGTAACGATGCAACCCAATCTTGAGATGATATTTTGCATTTCGACGAGGGGAACTGCATTCCCAACATGCTTGGATTGTTGATTAGGGTAGTAAGGAGACACTGCAATTCGTCAGTGTCTTCACCAAGTAGAACTGTCATTAGCATACTCCAAGTCAGCAAGCGTGTCTCCTGGTAGAAGGTTCACTCCCGAAAAGTCAAACGAAGATAAAGTGAACCCTAAAAGCTTGTCTACGACAAAGTTAAACAAGAATGGAGAGAATGGATATCCCTGACGGAGACCACTTGAAGTAAAGAATTCTGATGAAAGTTCGCCATAGGCTGTCACTCGACCAGTGGTGTTCGAGTAGAGAGCTTTCATAGGGTTAATGTACTTCTTTGGTACACCTTTTAATTACAGACACTGCCACAAAACCTCGCGACTGACGGAGTCGAATGCCGCCTTAAGGTTGATAAATACTACTATTGTGAGACATCTGAACGTGTCTATGTTCTAGGACCTCACGTAGTGTGAATATTTGGTCAATAAATCTGCGTCCAGGTCTGAAACAGGCCTGGATTTCTCTATTTTGCTCTTTACGAGCCTGCGTTAAGCGTCGAAGTATTATTGAGGCCAATATCTTCGATACTATATTAGTTAGTCTGATTCCTCTGTAATTGCCAAAAGAGGACTTTTGTCCTTTTTTATTTAGGTAAAGACTAGTATTATTAACTGGTTGTGTTTTTCTAGTCTAAATGTTAGAATTTCAAACAATCCGTAACGCAAGAGGCTTCTGCAGTGTCAAGAGGATTTAGGTTGATAAGTGGTTTTCGTATGATCTTAAGAGTTCTAGATAAGGCATAAAAAGACATTTGTTGGGTTACATGTTTCATTGTCATAGTTTTCACACCTAATATAAGAATCTTACAGGATCGGTGTTATTCAATAATTATAGTACAGTTAGATGATGATGAATTCAAAAGATTAAAATTTCATTGAACACAAAAAATTGATGCACCTGCACCAGTGGAAATGATTCTGAGCCATGTCGTTCAAGGTCTCTAACAATCGACGACTTTCCTCTCGCGGATCCCAAAAAGGTCGCTTGCACCTACCAACATGATTCAGTTCGCTTGTCAGTGACTTCATGGATTTCTACCATGTCTCCGTTCGGCCGCCCTTACCTTTCTTCCAACCTTCTCCTACATCGCAAAACATAGCTCGTCCAGGCAGTCGGTGGTTATGTGGTGTGTGCTACTTATGCGAACGATATAAGTAGTATAAGAAGGGACGTGAAAGAAGTCTCACGGTCACAAGAGGAAAACGGAGAGCAAATGGAGCAAAAGCAAGAAGTAAATGGAGTACCAACAGGAAGTAAAGGATGCGACAGCAGGAATGGAAGAAGGCTGGAGCGTTGGAAGTCAGGACTCAAAGATGGTGTGCAAATAGTGTTCAATGTAATGTTTTCGTTTTTAATTGATTAAAAGTGTAAATTTGCATAATACAATCTTCCGCCCCTGTCTCAGTCTTCTCAGTTAGGCACACGTAACACATGTCCCAGCCACCTCAACTGATGAAGTTTTAATACTTACTGTGTTATTGATAGGCACTGCTAATGGAAATATGGCTTAACTGGATGATTGCGAATGCTGTAAAAACAGAACAGTGGATTCATTTAAGTTAAAAGAAACACACAACATGAACTCAAGTAAGGTAGTTTTATTTTCATAAGTCAAAATATATACATGATAAAAAAAGAAACTCTTTCTCAAAATTCAGTTCAAAACTCAAATAGAAACGTTTACGGTCACATCAACATAATGAAGATACATAGGTCAAATAAAACCATGAAGTTGGGATTATGATTATTCTTGGAAAAGCAGGATAATGTGCCATTTTTATAACCCCAACTTTAAACCATTTGCCAAAAGTTAGAAACCCTTTTTCGGACGTAAAGGGACACTAAATTCACGTAGGTAAGCAAGAAATGTATACAAGCTTTTTCTCTTACATTTTAAATATGCAGAAACAACATCATGCTTTTTTTGCTGACTTTGTAATGAAAAATGACTTTCAACAGGAAACCGAAACTCAACCGTTTGCGGTAGAACAAAATCATTTGCCGACAATGAGATTAGAAAAAGAAAAGGAACGGCCCATAGAAAAAATGTGAAATAAGCTATGAGATAGGAGAATGGACTTTGGTTGTTTGAAAATACACGAAATGCCACCAAATGGTGAATAATTAACATAAAAGTACTACCGAGAAAGCTGAATGACTGGTAATGGAAAGCTGGAAATGTTTTTAACATGGTAGAGTAAAAACAATGACAAACTATCCCAGTCAATATAAGTATGAAAGGAATATCATCTGTTATAAGGAAAGTAAAATGAATTGCTATCTCTGTATATATTGTATAGCGTATTATTTTGCCCGTAGTGACTATATATTCTTCCACTAACTCAGTTACGTAAAACAATCCAACGGCAATGCAAAACAAAACAATGAATAAGTAAAATAACAGTGCAACGTAGGAAAAAATCCACAGAACAGAAAACTAAAATCATTATAATTAGATAACTAGGAGTAACTAACCATAGAAAATCCAAGTTAATATGATTCTTTAAATTCTACAATTTTGAGCATACAATGAACCTGAAATGATTGCAATTAGTATAACAATAAAAAACTTGAAAGAATTTAATACAAACAGCAACCGAATTCTAACCTTATTTTACCTCTGAGTAATTCACAATATGTGTGATATATTTATCCTCAATGATGAAGACATACGAACCTAAAATGCAGCCATAAAATTCGATCCATTAGTCTTATTGGAAAAATTGTGGAGAATGGCTTTCAGTGAAATAATAGTTACCAAACACATGTCAGACGAACAACTCCGATACTGAGCATCGCTTATGCCACTTACACATGGATAGTTGTGAACCAGAGTACAGATTTGCCTGCTTTATGTATTTTTTTTAAAAATACTCATGATTTGGCAATAAAGCAACCACTGCTTTTTTATCCAGTGGAACTTAAAAGAAACAAATTAATGCAGTACATTAGACGTTTTCGATGGTCTCCTTCTACTAATGTTTACTTAGAACTTTGAATATAGCTACAAATATTTTGAATAAAGATGGGATGATAGCAGATGTATGTTTGACTGATATTATCGGCGAAACTTGAACAAACCTACAGACTGGTCAGTCATACATGCATCCTCCCAAGTTTTCGTGCAAAATCAAAAGTGATGTACTTAAAATAGATGAACAGATATTATAGTTAAACTATCCTAAAACTTGTATCTTAGTTCTAGACCAAGAAAACTTCCAGACTGTTGTGTGCATCGAATATGAAATATCGCAGAGCACAGCTGTATCATGGCACATAGTAGTGACACTTTATGAAAAACAGTGTCTCCAAGTGCGCTGGAATTTGAAATTAGTAAGTTGGCGTAGTGTTTCTTTTCATTAATTAGTGTACTTGAAAATTAACATGAGCGTCAGTCAATCAATCAATAACAATGTAGAACTCCGTACGTACGAACATCAGTTCAAGTTGCCATACTACATTAGCATAGAGACGGAAATGTCAATTCAAATCCCATAGTAATAGAAGCAGTGACAGTAATCGGAGAGATTAGGGTTCGAAGGTATTATTCAGGAAGCATAATTAAGCGAAGTAAATTCAGGAAGAAAAAGGTGATGAGGAACTTTGAAGGTTAGGACTTGAGAGAACACAACGAGTGAATGCACCTGCGCCATCGCAAACGGTTTTGAGCCATGTCCTTCAGGGTCTCTAACTATCGATTACTATCATCTCGCGGGCCCCAACCAGGTAATCGACACCTACCGATATGACTCAGTTCAGTTGTCAGTGACTTCATGGATTTCTGCCATGTTTTGGTTTGGCCGCCCCTAGCTTTTTTCCAACCTATTCCTACATCTCAAAATATAGCTCGACGAGTGTGAGTGAACTCATATACATTTGTCACCGTTAAGGTCACCAGTAGGTCACGGGTTCGGATAATCTACAAGTTTCGAAAAACAGTTTAGGCAACACTCCCGGGTTCAGGACGACAATAATCGTCGACGAAGAAACATATGTTGTGACAAATTAGCATAACCTTCAAATAACTTACCAAAAATGCTCGCGGCTTCTTATCCGACTCAATCATACTTAAGCAGTTTTGAAGTTCATTTTTGGTATTTAGGATCAATTAGCATGACTACAATTAATGGACGAACCAAACAAATTCGAGGTAGCAAGTTTTGGATTATGGTTCAAAATTATTGTATCAATACGTCAAAATAGTGTTTTGTCATTTTAGCTGAAAATAGTTTGGTGTATATATTTTTTTCATGACGCAGACATCCAGATCTAAGCCCCGATCTTAATTGCGTTAATCACCTTATATAGTTATTAATTAAATATTCTGACACTGTTAAGTAGATGAATATTTTCAAGATCACTTCGGCATCGCTGATCAATCAGTCAATAGCAACGTAGAGCTCCGTACGTACGTACATACATCAGTTCATGTTGCAACACCACACTAGCACAGAGATTCAATTGTCAATTAAAATCCTATAGTAGTCGATATAAGAGAAATATTAGTGGCAAAGGAGAAGGTTAGGGTTCGAAGATATTAATCAGAAGTAGAATCTAGGGGAATAAACTTAAAAAGAAAGAGATAAAGTGATGAGGAACTCTGAAGGTTAGGGTTTGAGAGAACACAAAGAATAAATGGGCGTCCATAGATCATAACCTTATTGAAATGCCTCCTTCATATTGTCGTTTGACAACCTACTAACGATTTAGTGTTTATCGCTTGAAACTCCACTAAGGTAAACTGTTCCCTAATAAAACTATTAAATTACGGTTGTAATTTGCTCAAATGACATTGATAAATAATCACTAGACATACCTAACTACGTTCTAACTTCAGCTCTTGGTAAGCTTCCGATTAGACTGAAGATAACTTGTGTGCTGGGGGAATGTGAGGAGCAGTATGAGGTTGTCTGAAAGAGGGAAGAACGTGAGAAAAGTAAGCCAGGGAACCAGTAAGCACCTAGAATAAACTTGCTTTCAACACAGGAAGCAATCGACGGCAATCAGAAATAACAAAAGCATGAGATTAAAACAAGCTGATAATATGAACAGAAATCCTACGGCTCAAGGTCTTTAGTATGATGCAACGTGTGCGTTTGCATACCGAGCCTCCCTTACAAGGTCATACTTAACAAAACTCACTACACTTCCTATAAATGATGGAAAGCAATATGACACACTAAAATCACTGAGTTCGAATGATCTTCATATGCCTTCCTCCTTTGAAAACACAATCAAAATACAACTATTTCATCTAAATTAATAAATAGTTTGGTCATAAATTACAGTACGTCTTTCAAAATACTTTTTACTAGATTTATCAAACGCACATTCCCATTAAGCATGAAATGATAAGTATCAGATCATAATGACCTGTTGACTGAAATCAAATCCACCTAAGTTGAAAATGTTCCTCGCTTTTTCAGACTTCAGGATATCCGAATTTTTTCATCAGAATTTCGTACCATTCAGTCTATAATGTAGAAGTCCCATCAAACGATACTTTTAAACAGCTGCATTCAAATATCCAATTGGCTTCTTGACTTGGAAATGCCTTTCGAGCTTGAAAGGGATTCAAAGGTTCTCAACTTTGTGCACGCTTATGTTGATCAGCGCCTTAAAACAAGACCAGACCGATAACCCAATGTCTAGGCCTTATTTTAGAAAAAATAAATGTCGAATGGGATCCGAATTCCTCCGCTTTTCTAGCTTCGACTACTGATACTCAAAGTATTCGCTCTGTGAGAAATAAATTGGTGATCGAGCTGAATTGCACAAAAAGTAGCTACGGTCAAATAATTGCTCACGATCAGTTGACTTATAAATTTTTACCAATGGCTTACACTATGTCTGCAAGTCTTCAGTGAGAACATTTAACCAACCGGTAATATGGAAATAGGAGGGTCATTTACTTTCAAGACACTGTGGATAACGTATTTTGCACCATTGCGGAATAGAACCAAAAATTAAATTATTCTGAGAACTTTGACAACAAAGCAACAATTATTATCTCAGTATATGAACCTTACTTAACAATCGGAAGTGTAAAACAGCAATCCGTAAACAACACCTTGAGACCTCTTTTGGAGGCGATTTCAAGATACCCATTAGATAAGGTATAAGTGCATTCTTCTGAGAACTCCTACTTAGTTGTTTTCCTTTACATAAACTTCAACCCACTTTGGGAGGCTGATAATCCACTGTTTGCACCGATCACGATCCCCAAAATTTTGTCTGAGCTGGTCCTTAGATATAGTACTTTCGTTCACCCTCTCGATAACTGAAATAAGTCTCTCAGTTTAATCCAGATGTACAACACTATTTCTGATGCAAACAATTTAGTTGTAGACGCCTTGTAACCATGCACAGTAAATCCCTTTTGTACATCTTTCACACCTCGTGACGCTCAATTACAACACTGATTTATCAGGATGTGTCACGATCCTTATCGAATTCCAATGGAATACTACCAAGGACCATCGTTTGTTGATGCCGCTGATGAACCTGATCGATCTTTTGGTTTCCGTTGATACAGCCATCAGTACTCGATCTCTAAAGCGCCATAAGTTCAGGGGAACTGGCAAGGATATCCGAGCGTAATGTGGATCTAGCACAATTTTGGAGTCGTTAGAAAATAAGGCCTAGATACTGGAGCTGAGATTCTCCATCCGGACATGTTTTAAAGCACTGACCAACTGCACGAAGTTGGGACCTTTGAACCCCTTCAAAGCTTGAAAGGTATTTCTAAGTCAAGAGGCAAATCGGATATCAGAATACAACAGATTTGGAGTATCGTTGGCAACAATAAAAATTTGGTCGTACGATTTACTGAACCAACTTTTTTTAGCTCCTCATAGAACGGTAAATGTTGAGCGCAGTTCTTCTATCACATGGCCAATAAACACGCATTCGATGCCTGTCTTCGCTGTCCTGTTTCGGGATCACTGTAACATGGATGCCCATTAACTTCTTGAGTATAACCTGATTCCCATACCTGTTGAATAAATGAACTATTTTTCCGACAGGCTTGGCTTTTCCAATGCTAATCAGCATGAGTCTGAGAATAAAGATGGTTACGTAGTCATGACATGACATGGTTAAACGCGGTGATGGTGGTCATGCCGGGTATAGTGCATCAGAGCCATGTTTTAATTTGGCCACCTCTGGTTTCCTTTCAACTTACTCCTACATCACAAAACATAGCTTGCTGTGGCGGTCGGTGATTGGACAGACGTAAAACATGTCCCAACCACCTCAACTGGTGAAGTTTCAGTACTTTATCTACTGATCTGCCAACCCTAACCAGTACTCGTTTCCTAACGACAGCATTGCTTAATCGGCTATCCCAGGATATGCGAGCAATTGCTTCGAAGATATCTGTAGTCTAATACTATTAACCTACGAATATCCTCTACTGCTGCGCAGTAGACTCATATTTTAGTTAGCAGACTGATATCTCGCCAAAATCATACATCACTCAATTTCACGAAATCCAATCGAGCCATCTGTATCCGTGAAACAATGCCAGGGATATGATGTCATGGAGAATATAAACTAGATACAAGTGTTCGTTTGAAATTTTCATTCCCATAGGTCTCATAACACTTTTAAGTTGAAATGCATTATATTCAGTGGCAAACGTTCTGACAAATCAACTGAACATAGCAACTTTGTTGGTTGGTGTGGTCCCTGAGAGTTATTATAATTTATGGTCACATAATGTACTTAACCGTTGTTCTGAGAACCATTTAGTTGCATTTATGAAGACACACAATTCCTATCTGCATAAAACCACAACAAATCCTTATAACCAAAAAGATTATTCGTCGAATATATCATTCGAGATGTATACTCCAGGCGAGTTAATTAAAAAAAAAGAAAAAGCGGTCATGAGGAATTCAGAAGAATGGCATTTGAGAAAACACACAGAATGAATGCATCTGAGCCGTTGCGAAGTTTTGAGCCAGGTCCTTCTAGCTCTCTAACCGTCGATTACTATCATCTCGTGGACCGCAACCAGTTAGTCGATACCTACCGACACGATTCAAAGCACTTGTCAGTGACTTCATGACTAAGGTAAGCAAGAATAGAGAATGTGTACAGCCCTGAAGGACACCACCTGAAGTAGTCAATTCCGACGACAGTTCGCCACAAGCTCTCAATAGACCAGTAGTGTTCAAGTATAGAGCCTGTATAAGGTCAGTGTACTTCTTTGGTAAACCATTCAGTGTCAGACACTGCCACAGAACCTCACTATCAGCAGAATCAAATGCCATGTTACAGTGGACAAATACTACTACTATGGGACATCTGAACGAGTGTCTATGATTTAAAACCTGGAAAAAAGTGAAAATGAGTTCTATACATCCACGTCAAGGTCTGAAAGCAGCCTGGTTTTCTCTAGTCTGCTCTTCACGAGCTCTAGTTAGGGACGTCACAGTATTGTTGAGGCCAATATCTTAGACGCTACATTAGTTGAACTGATTCCTCTGTGACTGTCACTAAGATTTCTTCCTTTCATGTATGATAGGACAATAAAGGATTGAGATCAGTGAGATGGGATTATGCCTAGTCCCCAGATTCTATCTATCATCTCAGTCAATCAAACTGCTAGTACTGGGATACCATCCTTAAAAGTCTCAAGCTCTGCTGCTCTCCTTCTCTTCAGATTTCCTATCACCTTTCCAAAGTCATAAAGATTTGGACAACTTACATAGATTCGCCATTCAGGTTGACTGGAGATCGTGGGCAAAGGAGGTGTGGCTGAAGGCCATTTGAATCGATTCTTGAAGTGCTCTGCTCATCGCTTCAATCTCCCGGGTTGAGAATGAGTGATAAAACCAATCTTTTCGGGACAGCCTCGATCACAGTCGGATTACTAATACCAATTTCCTCTATAAATCTGAATAGTTGTCTTCTATTGCCTATCGCTGCTATTTTCCTGTCTTTCGGGTTTTGCTATCTGCCACTGTTCACGATTGTTGCATTGTATTTTTATAAGCCTGCGTCTAACTTGACGACACTCCTCGTCATGCTCAGAGCCATGCAGGATAAATGTACAAGCATCTGTAGTGATTCACTTTTACTAAGAAAACATAACTGCTAAAATATAAACATTTATTATTGCACTTAATTCTGACAATAATTGTTATACTCTACACCTCTTGTTTATCGGTACTAAAAACTATCTCTCGCGCGCCATGAGTGTTATTCCAATTCTCCTCTTTGCACGTCTCCTGCATGGTCATTAGCTTTCTGTACGCCTTCTTGTCTCTATGTTATTTCGATATCACAAGGCCAGTACCAAATATACTCCTTCCTCTAGAGTCTGTTTCCTTCTTGGAGTCCTGGAGTATTATTTGTTCTCCCGCGAAGAAGTATATCGTACGAAACGCCACACTGGTGAGCCACACATTCGACTACGTAATAATTAAGGTGAGTCTGTCATTTTTTTGGTCACATTTTCTCATTATTTTAACTGTTGTCTTACACATTTATTGATATTTTCATATATAGGATGTATATTATAACTGCGACAGCTTTTGAAAATGGTAGATAGACTTAAAAATGACGATATTTTAGCCGACTCACAGACACAGATTCTTAGTTTTCGACCTGTAGCCTTTATCCCTGGTTCGCGGCACTGTAAGCTCAATTTGAGCCGCGTTACGAACCAGCGGCATATGTATGCCCACGCCTGAATCGCTACCGGGGATCACATAGCCACCGTTCGTGAGGTAGTCCTCAACTCTGGTGTACCAGACGTATACGTACGTCTCAAGCAGGCGATTCTTCGATATATCTTCCCATCGAGGGAGGAGCGTTTGAGGAAACTTTTCGCACGCCAACCTCTGAGTGACGCTAAACCTAGCCACCACCTCACGCGCCTGAAATCATTAGCAGGACTAAGGGGATCCGACTCTGACATCGTTAGAGCATTGTGGCTAGAGTCACTACCAGCCCATTTTCAGCCTTCGATTGCCACTCGGCCAGAAAACATGCCGCTTACCCAGATTACACTAGTGGGAGACAGGGTAATCGCACGAACTGGCAACCGAGAAAACTGCAACAGGTGCGTCCACGTTACATACCAACTTGGACCTCGACGACGAT